CGAAATGAAATCGTTGTTCTTTTTTGTTTTACTAAAAATTTTCGTTGATGTTGAATATTTAATATATGAGAAAGAATAGACTGTGACGAACATTTTGAATGACATAATTCACATATATATTGAGCTGGATCGGTTAAATTTTCAAATTGAAATTCGATAATATAATTTAAACCTATTTGAAACAAAGTTCGTCTTTTCAATTTAATTAACAAAACGAAAAATAATTCAAATACCTAATAAAGGTTTTTTTGTTTGATTGATTTCTTCTTCGCAACGTAATTGACGATTAAATACTTTTTTATTAAGCATTTCTGGTGAAAACATTGCTTTATATGCAGGACGATACTCTGGGGCAACTTTTGTTTTTAACGTTTAAAGAAATGTTCAAATGACATAGAAATAAAACAAAAAAAAAACGAAATATTTACCTGATTGTAATACATCATGAATACTTTGTGCCTGTAATAAAAAAGAAAAGATTTTCAACATAATTCTCAAAAGATAAATAGATTTGTAAAACCTAATTCGACATATATCAATATTATATCGATTATTTGATTCTCATTCGATAGAAATGATAAACAAGTTATTAAACAAGTTTCAACTACTATCAAATTATGATACAGTTAACTCTAATAACTTGTGGGTTTTGAATAGCTTCTCGTATAATTTTTGAAAAATGTTTTGTTTCAAAAAATATCGTTCCAAAAAAAGAAACGTTATTCAAAATAAAATTTATTTCTGGAAGTTAGTTAGTAATCGAGGTATGATGAAATCAAATTATTATTTCCCAACACTGAAATCTTCAGTAGCACCTAAAATTATTCGATCAGATTTATTTTTAATGTTTTACCATTGTCGTAAACGCTTAGAACAATCCAAATAGTGGTTTGTGTAGAGAATTTTATTTTCAACAAAAGATTTTTGACGATAAAGATGACTACTGGTTTCCTAAGGATAGAATTTCTGAAAAACCAATACCAGACTTTTTCATCCCATAGAGTTTGCAATCATAATTTTGTTTAAATTGCCCAGAATGATAGAGCAAACAGTTTTCCACAAAATGAAATAAATTCCAGCTCTCTATGATTTTTTCAATTAACAAGAGAACTTGTCCGACAGATAAAATCTTCAAAGAGTTCGTGCCATTAGGCCTTTTTTTCTCAAGTTATGTTCATTTTACTGAACTTTCAGTCTGATGCAGGATATCATGAGAAAAATCGCAACAAACAGCTTGGATCTAAAATCCTTCTCAATAATAACTCTCATGACTCTTATGGTATCCTGAAAGTTTCAACTTAAACGGATGTTTTCCTTCTGAGATAACGCGTTTGCAAAAAAAAACATTTTTTTTCACAGAAGACCTCCAAAACTAGCCCCCTTTTAAGGCATACGATATTTTAAGAAGAAACCATCCAGTTAAACCGACACTTTCAGGATATCATAAGAGACGTGAGAGTTATTGTTGGAAAAAATTTCCAGCCGAAAATCCATGTTTTGAGTTTTCTCGTGATATCCTGCAATATGCTGAAAGTTCACTAAAATAACCGTAACTCAAGAAGAGAGGTTTAATGGTACGAACCATTCCTGGATTTTTGTCTACACTATCAGTCCTATCTATGAGCAAAATATGAATTCAAACGGAGATTATCAGTTGGATGGATTTCTCTGTAAAATACATCAACTTTAGAAAAAACACATAAGTCGTTTTTCCTATTATTCTGTATAGAGACACTACTTTTGTGCCTTCCATGAAGTTGGTATATCATGGTCAAAAAATAATCGTAGAAAGCTGGAAGACGTTTCATTGTGTAAAGAACATATTGCTCTATCATGTGGGATGATTCAAACAGAATAATAATTGTTAACTGCAGAAGTTGAAAGACTTGTTGTTTTGTTTTCAGATATCCTATCCTCAGAAAACTGCCAACTATATTTAACTTCAGAAATTCTTGGTAAAAATAAAACTCTCTACTCATATCATAATTTAGATTATTCTTACTGTTTAAAGCAAAGGAAAAACATAAAAAATTAACCTGATCGAATAATTTTTTAAGATCACTGATTATGAATGGAAAGAGGATAAGATGATCCATAAGCCAATAAATAAAACTCATCGTTCAAATGTAAAAGAATGGTTATTTATACTTCAACATCTAAATAAGTAAGTTTTGGAAGTTGCATGACAGGTTTATATTTTATGTTAACTAGTGTTGATATCTCAATATCGTATGAAATAATCGAAAACTGTTAATTTAACCGAACGGTCAATCAAGCAATTGACAGTTAGTCAATTGTTCGTCCGATTAGTCGACGAGTTTCCTTTGCTCAATATGGCATAAAGTAAAAAGCTTCTTTGTGTTTTTTTTTTCTTATGAACCGCAAGATACCGTTCACTAAATGTTATACTAATTGATAGAGAAAAGGAATTTCGACATTGTCAGCTCTCTAATGTATTTCAATGGAATCATTAAGTTATTGAGTCTCTTAAAAATCATACTTGTTGATGTTGTCGACTGTTCAAATGTGAGTTAAAATGTTTTTGATTAGATAAATCAATATTACAAATAGCACATGAAAAACGTCGAATTATTTTAGTTGTTGTCTGATTATTATTATTATTATTGTTATTGTTTATTGAATGAATCGTATTTGTTGGATCAGGTAATGGTAGAAATGAACTAGCGGATATCGATGATGTTGAAGATGATACTTCAACAGAATCAGATTGATTTGAATTTGTATTCTATATAATTAAAATATAATTAAAAATATGAAATATAAAACAATTTCTTTTACCATAGATTATTATATAATGGAATCATCATCTGTTCATCTCCATTTCTAGAAAAGAATAAATTCTATTTGATAAAATGTGTTTGATTGGCTGAAGAAATTTTCCCAATTAAATATCATGGATATTACAAAAAAATGATTCTTTTATATATATATATTTCTTTAATCTTCAATGAAAATTTTAATTTTATTAAAAAAATATTTTTCTTATAAAAATCAATCTTCAAGAAAGTAGTGACCTCTCTCTCGTTTGACTTACCTGTATATTATTATTACTCTTGTTCTCTTTATCGGATTAATTTTTACAAACGATTATTTTTCGTATCATATGAAGAATTGTGTGCCGATTTAGACACATGCTCTATTGTATTTGGTAGTTGTGTACACAATAACGTGTTACGCCCTTACGCTTTAATGTTTATTTATATTCACTTCTGTCATAGCAAATCGAGTCGATTTTCTTGGGGTGGTTTACAAGAAAACAGCATACATCATTCGATTCAGAATTTTATAAGGATTTCAAATATACTATCCCCTTTCCAGGACAACTCTTAGTTTTTGAGAAAAGAATGAAAAACTATTTTACAAAATGTTTAATAACAAGACATGAGAATTTTGTTTTATTTCTAGTAAAATATGTTGATATTGATGGAAATTTGGTTTTTCTAATTTATTTTATTTTGTTTTTTGTTCTTTGGAATTTTCGATCTTAAACGATCATCATCAGCTATAACAATAACAATAACAATAACAACAACAATAACAATGACAATACAGCATTAACTATGAATATCTACAGTATAACTCATGCTCATCGAATATATATCAAGTAGAAGTTACAAAATATTTAATAACAAGACATGAGAATTTTGTTTCATTTCTAGTAAAATATGTTGATATTGATGGAAATTTCGTTTTGGATATATTCGATGAGCATGAGTTATACTGTAGATATTCATAGTTAATGCTGTATTGTCATTGTTATTGTTATTGTTATAGCTGATGATGATCGTTTAAGATCGAAAATTCCAAAGAACAAAAAGCAAAATAAAATAAATTAGAAAAACCAAATTTCCATCAATATCAACATATTTTACTGGAAAACTATTTGACGTTGAAAGTAGTGCCTTTTTTTTTCTTTCCTGTCATTTCTTCTCTGTTTGTGAATATATTCATTTTCCTTTGATGTCTCTTTTTTTTTATATATTGACAGGACAAACGAACAGAACGAAAAAGAAAATAGACATATGTAATTAGTATATATCTAAGAACAACTGTTGAAGATAAAGGTGGTTTCTTATCCTTATTTATTCCAAGACGTAACATGTACAACTTTTTTCACGTACTAATTATGAGTGGAAACGTATGCTTGAGATATGTGATTGTGTATAAATTAGGTAAATATATTTATATATAATTTGATTATTCAATTTGAGTTACGAAAAAAATACATAATCGCACAGAAAAATTTCCTTATAGATAAGTAGCAGTTGAAAGACAAACGTGATTCTACATAAAATTTTATATCTGTTTCAATCGTCTTGCAACCATAAGAAACCACCTTTATCTTCAACAGTTGTTCTTAGATATATACTAATTACATATGCCTATTTTCTTTTTCGTTCTGTCCGTTTGTCCTGTCAATATATNATTTTATATCTGTTTCAATCGTCTTGCAACCATAAGAAACCACCTTTATCTTCAACAGTTGTTCTTAGATATATACTAATTACATATGCCTATTTTCTTTTTCGTTCTGTCCGTTTGTCCTGTCAATATATGAAAAAAAGAGACATCAAAGGAAAATGAATATATTCACAAACAGAGAAGAAATGACAGGAAAGAAAAAAAAGGCGCTACTTTCAACGTAAAATAGTTTTTCATTCTTTTCTCAAAAACTAAGAGTTGTCCAGGAAAGGGGGTAGTATATTTGAAATCCTTATAAAATTTTGAATCGAATGATGTATGCTGTTTTCTTGTAAACCACTCCCAAGAAAATCGACTCGATTTGCTATATTCTTCTCTCATGTTCTTTCCCTACTGACGTATTTGTATCTCTCTCTCTCTCTCCTCTCCCTCTCCGCGTTAATAGCGCGTTGAAGTGGAACGGGAACATAAGAGGAAGAGACAAATTGAAATAAAGACAGTTGGAAACACGGCATATAATTTTTGATCGTTACAAATTGGAATTTTATTTTATTGCAATGTTAACTAAAGGAGGCTTTTCACTGATTTCTAACGTAGAAAAAGTAAGAAAACAATTACGTTTACTATGAAATAAACTTATTTTTAGTTTGCTAATGCTACATTAACGGTTTTACCTCTTCGACGTCTTTGCTTAACTCGTACTATTTATGCATTCACAAGCGAAAAGTCATCGAAGACTCTTAAGGTACTAAAAGAAAAAGACACGTTTTTTTCTTATTGAAATGTACTTTAGGTGCCTCTTTCTCGGTTTGAACCAAATAAATATATTAATTATGAAAAAAATGTATCTGTTTTGCATACTGTCAAAAAAAGGTAAATTCATTTGTATGTATAGTCAATTCTCCTTCGAACAAAAAATTTCTTAGAGAGTTCTTTTAAAATCTGCCTGATATATTACAATACAGGTTTCCTGATTATACACTAGAGGGTTGTTGTGTATCCATAACAAGAATAGCCACTAGGATAAGTGGCCATGTCGTTCATCATCGTATTAGCATGTGACTATCGTCAGAGACAGAAGAAATAATTTTCTTCTTTGGCCTTCTTTCATAAAAAGGAAAATGCATTTTACATTTATAAATTAATACTTACTTGACTTTGATGCTAAATTCAAAATACTTAAGTTATGCAATCCTTCACAAGTTTCCACGGAGTCATTGGAGACTACACCTGTGACAGTACACAGTTCTAAGGAGATGGCTATTTTTCGAGAACAGTGTAGTGAGCAATTCTTGTCATATGAACTAAGTCTACTCATAATGACAATCTAACAATTTTATTCAATAACTGTTTCAGTTATTGAAAAAAGAACTAGTGAGTAAATCCAGTTCTCAAAACAGAACAAGTTTACAAAAGTTGACGCTGTCACAGGTGTAGAGCTGATTTGTTTGAACAGTTCAAATCTTTTGAAAAGAACTGTTGACCAGTTCCCTGATCGTGAACTGTCACAGATATATTAGAGACTCCCAAGAATTTTTATTACATATCTTCATTTGTACTTTTGACAATCAAGAACTCACTAAGAATTTCCTGTGAAGTTTTGCATCTTGAAGATTTGCTCTATGATTCTTTTGGAATTCACAAAAGACTTTGTATTTTTCAAAAAGACTAACTAGTAAGTTTACAAGAGCGAGTCAACTAAGAGCATTAAACTTAAAAAGAAAACATTTTTTGTTTTTTATTTAGACTTAATCATCCATTAACACTTTCTGAAAAAATTCTTTATTCACATCTTGATGATCCACAAAATCAAGTAAATAGAAAAAAAAATCAAACAAAAATTTCATCATTAAACTTTTCCATTCTTTGTAGAAAATTGAACGTGATAAATCATATTTACATTTACGTCCTGATCGTGTTGCTATGCAAGATGCTACTGCTCAAATGGCTGTACTTCAATTTATGTCATCTGGTTTACCAACTGTTTTAAGTCCAACTACCATTCATTGTGATCATTTGATTGAAGCACAAATTGGTGGAGATGAAGATTTAAAACGAGCAAAGGTAAATAAATTATTTCAAGTAGAAATAAAAATGTAAAAAAGCCAAAGTGTATTCTAATAGCTTTGAATTTGTATGTGTGCATTATCCTTCAAACAAATAAGAAAATAATACAGTAAAAGTAAAAGAATGATCGTATTATTCTTAAAATTTAGATTAGACTTTTTTCATTAATGATAGAAGTGATGTAGAAAGATTTTTGTTGACTTTTTAAAAAGAAAAAAATTTAAAAATAAAAATTAATATGGTTTCAAATAATGTACTTATACTGTTTTGTTGTTGTTTTTTTATTGCTATTGGATGTGTTGATGTAGAATTTAGATACAAAACAAAATATATTTAGTACAATATAAAGAAAGTTGTTAAAACAAAAAAGCTATTTTTCAGTTCTTTGCCAAGGATAGTTTTACTTTGGTAAAGAATATCCAATGACATGCCTGAATAGGCCTCAGTCACTTTCACCTAGAATATTTTAAAACTTTTATAAATGCAAACATGAAGAAGTGCTCTCTCTTTCCGTTACAGGGGTCTTCTGTAAAAAGTTGAATCTTTTCTATTAGTTTTTTTCTACTTACACTACTAACAAAATGGTACTCATATAATTAAATCCAATCATTGCACTATTCTCGAAGAAATCCTATTTTCGTTTTAGGTTGTTGAATTTTTCTGTTTTTCTTTCGAAATTGTTCATGAACTGTTTGCAACGCAAATCATCATGTCTGCTTCATGACTAAAAATGAGCGGAACCATGTGTTTCTGGACCTTGCAAATACGTTTCTAGCAGTTCTGATTATGGCCGCGGTGAATCTAATCTGCTTCTAGTCTAAAGAAAACTTTTTCACACTATATTCGTATCGCATCCAAAAAAATTCTTTAGTAGTCTTTTGCTGATTGATATGACTTATATGATAATTCGCTTAAAACCATAGAATATTTAACTATAATTTTCAGTTTCGAATGGGACAACGTTTTTCCCGTAATCCTGATCCTAGCCATGGGACTAAAGTTTGTCTGCACACTTTTACTCGTGATCAATATTGTTCATGATCAGATTTAATCGACTATTTAAGAAAACAAGAAGCTAAATAGAATATATCCAATCATGTACGATCCATCTACTCGAATTTTAATTTCTTGTAGGATCTTAATAAGGAAGTATATAATTTCTTGGCAACAGCAAGTGCAAAATATGGTATCGGTTTTTGGAAGCCAGGTAGTGGTATTATTCATCAAGTATGATTATCGAAAAATAGTTTTGTAAAACAGTAGGATTTTTATTTTTTTTCAAAAGATTATTCTAGAAAACTATGCTTATCCAGGTTTATTACTAATTGGTACTGATAGTCATACACCCAATGGTGGTGGTCTAGGTGGACTTTGTGTTGGTGTTGGTGGTGCTGATGCTGTTGATGTTATGGCTAACATGCCATGGGAAATTAAATGTCCAAAAGTATGATAAAAATAAAGTTTATCAAATTAATCAAAAGAAATATTTTTCTTGCATTATATTCAAGATTATTGGTGTTCGATTAACAGGTCAATTAAATGGATGGACAGCACCAAAAGATGTTATTCTTAAATTAGCTGGTATTTTAACAGTCAAAGGTGGTACTGGTTCAATCATTGAATATTTTGGACCTGGTATTGAATCAATTTCATGTACTGGTAAAAATCTAAATTTTTTATTTTTATTTTTTCAAATAAAAAGAATATATTATTTGTTATATAGGAATGGGTACCATTTGTAATATGGGTGCAGAAATAGGTGCTACAACATCAGTATTTCCTTATAATAAACGTATGGCTGAATATCTTAAAGCAACAAAACGTGAAGGTAGAATATGATTTTTATAATGAAATCTTGATTTATATTTATTTATTCTAATAAAATAGAGATTGCTAATCTTGCTAATCAACATAAAAGTGAACTTTTAACAGCTGATGATGATGCAAAATATGATCGAATTATTGATATTAATTTATCTGAAGTAAAGAAAAAATTTTATGAAAAAAAAACAATATTTTATTTTATTTTTTTGTTATGCCTAATAAATTTCTTTAGCTTGAACCACATGTAAATGGTCCATTTACACCTGATCTTGCACATCCAATACATAAATTAGCTAAAGAAGCAGAAAAAAATCAATGGCCACTTGATATTCGAGTTGGTAAATATCTTTAAGGAACTTATTAATATAATACTCTTTTCATTTTCTTATCGAAAGGTCTTATTGGTAGTTGTACAAATAGTTCATATGAAGATATGACACGAGCAGCTAGTATTGCTCAACAAGCAATTGATAAAGGCATTAAAGCTAAATCAATATTTACAGTTACACCAGGTTCAGAACAAGTACGAGCAACAATTGAACGTGATGGAATTGTAAGAAAGATATTTTAGTTGCGATTAATTATTAATCTAATCTAATTTATTTTGAAGGCTGAAAAACTTCGTCGTATGGGTGGAATAGTTTTAGCAAATGCTTGTGGTCCATGTATTGGCCAATGGGATCGTAAAGATATAAAAAGAGGTGAAAAAAATACTATAATTTCATCTTATAATCGTAATTTTGTTGGACGCAATGATGCTAATCCTGGAACACATGCATTTGTTACATCACCAGATCTTGTTACAGCAATGGTTTTAAGTGGTGATCTTCGTTTTAATCCTTTAACTGATTCTTTAACAGCTGCTGATGGTACTAAATTTAAATTACAACCACCAACTGGTGAGAATTTACCATCAAAAGGTTTTGATCCTGGTGTTGATACTTATCAAGAACCACCAAAAGATGGTAGTTCACTTAAAGTTGATGTTGATCCAAAAAGTAGTCGATTTCAATTACGTGAACCATTTGAACCATGGGATGGAAAAGATTTTATTGATTTACCGATATTAATTAAAATAAAAGGAATATGTACAACAGATCATATTAGTCCTCCTGGACCATGGCTAAAATATCGTGGACATTTGGATAATATTTCAAATATTACGTTTATCCCGTATGTATAATTTCAAAATTTGGAAGATACAACTTAAAACTCAAGATTTTTCTTCGACATAGCCTATGATGCAAAAGTAATGAGACAAATGTCGAATGCTATTTCTTTTCAATAGGAAAGAGCTCAAAGAAAATTTTATTTGCCAAAAGATGAAGGATTTTTTTCTTTTTCGAAAGGTATATAATTTGCTTTTATCACAAGTTAATAAATGAAATGTCGCAACAGGAAAAAGAAGCACCCTNCACCAGATCTTGTTACAGCAATGGTTTTAAGTGGTGATCTTCGTTTTAATCCTTTAACTGATTCTTTAACAGCTGCTGATGGTACTAAATTTAAATTACAACCACCAACTGGTGAGAATTTACCATCAAAAGGTTTTGATCCTGGTGTTGATACTTATCAAGAACCACCAAAAGATGGTGGTTCACTTAAAGTTGATGTTGATCCAAAAAGTGGACGACTTCAATTACTTGAACCATTTGAACCATGGGATGGAAAAGATTTTATTGATTTACTGATATTAATTAAAACAAAAGGAAAATGTACAACAGATCATATTAGTCCTGCTGGACCATGGCTAAAATATCGTGGACATTTGGATAATATTTCAAATAATACGTTTATCCCGTATGTATAATTTCAAAATTTTTGAAGATACAACTTAAAACTCAAGATTTTTCTTCGACATAGCCTATGATGCAAAAATAATGAGACAAATGTCGAATGCTATTTCTTTTCAATAGGAAAGAGCTCAAAGAAACTTTTATTTGCCAAAAGATGAAGGATTTTTTTCTTTTTCGAAAGGTATATAATTTGTTTTTATCACAAGTTAATAAATGAAATGTCGCAACAGGAAAAAGAAGCACCCTCAAAATTCATCCGTACTTGTCATTCAATATAGAATAACGATATGAAATGTCAACCCCTATATCTCTTTACTAGACATGTGTTGGAACAATATTTTCTTTTGTTAGTTGATAGCAAATTTTCTCGTCTTTGCAAGTGTATATTATTTAATTCTGCGATACATTCATAAAGAAAATGATATAGGAAGTAAGAGAAACATTCGCACAAAGAATTTGTAATTTTTTATACTGATTCATCAAATAAATCGTATAAAACGGCCGTCGATTATTTACTAAAACAAGGTGTTTCAAGATCAATGATTTGTAATATATTGAAGAAATATTTGAAATATGAATAAACCAAGATTTTTACCAAGAAATGGTCCTCCAGTAAAACCTTCTGATGAAAAATTAAACCAAGTGATGAAATCTGTTAATAATGATTGTGGTATCAGTTAGAGAAAATTAGTTAAGCTTTTCAACGCTAATCAATCAACAATCAGTCCTCATTTACGAAGTAGAACACAGTTATTATAAGAAAACGTCGAAAGACTTCAAAGATGGACAATAAAGCTTAAGAAAAAAAGAGCTAAAAGAGATTGTGGGAAACTATACAAAGAATTCCTCGTGATTGAAAAGTTATTTTAGATGACGGAAAATATTTCACATTCAATGGAAATAATGTTACGAAGAATCAATGGTATTGCTCTACTGAAACAAATACAGTTCCTGTTGATATTAAATTCAAAATGAAAAAGAATTATGAACTGAAAATCATGGTTTGAATTTCGATGGCCATGTCACCGACAGGAGTTTCGGATACATAAGTACAAAAAAAGCAATCAAGCAGTTCGCCAATATCTATACTTAAATGAATGGATAGTTAAAATATTAATCTGATTTATTAAAAAATGTCATCGAAGTGAAAAATTTGGATTTATTCGTGCACAGCATCAACCAAATGATCAATGGATTTAAAAACAACCACACCCTACAGATTATGATTCAAAATGTTCGGAAAAAAACTTCGCCACGCGTAGCGTCATGAACGATATTTTGTTTGTTGAATAAAAACTTGTTGTTCGTCTCGCTGTTGTCAATAAAAAAACAAAATTTCTACCCTTGTTCATTAATCTGTAGCGGTCTCTAATATATCTCTGCTATGAACCTAACATCATATTTGAGTCGTTGTACACGATTTATTTGAAAACCCGATATAAAAATTACAAATTCTTTGTGTGAGCGTTTTCTTTCTTCTCTCATCGTTTTCTTTATGAGTGTATAACAAAACAAAGTTATATACGATTCGAAATAAGAGAAAATTTTCTATTAGCTGATAAAACAATATGATTGTTCCAACACATATTTACTAAAGAGATATACGAGTTCATATTTTGCATCGTTATTCTACATTAAGTGAAAAGTACAGATCCATTTTGAGCGTACTTCTTTTTCCTGTTGTGACATATCATCCGTGAACTTGTGATACAAATAAGTTATATACAATTCAAAAAAGGAAAATGATCTCTATCTTGTTGTGAATACAAGTTTTCTTTCAGTGCCTTCCTATTGGACAGAGACAGCTCTGACATTTGTTCCATTACTTTTGCATGATATGTTATTTAAGTTAAGAAAAAAACTCAACTATCTGAAGAAGAGACCGATGTGACCATCATAATTTATAGTTTTTATGATCACAATCATGAACCATTATCCTAATTCAAGTTTAATTATGTCTAGTCACAAAGTTCTAGTAACGTCTCAATCTTTCAAATGTAACCATTAATAATTGAAAATATGATGGAATACATGTCAATAGACAGTAGGAGTCCAATATATCTTAAGTTTTTGACTCTCTACAACGTTCCTTATTCATTTTTTTTCTTCATAGCGTCATGAGCTCTGTGTTTTTAACTTAGATGTACTACCTTCATCACACTTGAAATTTATCGAGCAATTCCCCCTTGTAAATTATCAATAAATAAATATTCTCACAAGAGATTGATATCGAGTGTAGTAAAAAAAAATAAATTATGTTGTCAAGTCAAGAATTAAGTCATTGTCAAATATCACTGATATGAGAAGAATTTCAGCTTAAGAATAGCATTTTCACTTGAAAAAATATATGACTTCGTCAATTTAAACTAAAAAGCTCTTGAAGAAAAATGTCGATTAGGGTTTTGAATACATTCTGACATTTTTACAACTTTTTTTGTTTATCATTTTCTTAAGCAAATATTTTACGTAGGTAGTAAAGAACTTTATTCTACGATTGTAGATTTTTCTATTTAATTTACATTAAAAACGAAAAAAGGTATCACTCCTGGCATGAAATTATTACTCATTGTTTATCGAAACGTAATAAAAAGCGAGTAGAGAAGATTATTTGTTAAAAGTTTTACTTTGTATCTTTCTCGTATATGAATAAACAAAAATATCAGTTTTATGACGAAAAACTATTCGTCGCGTCTATTCTTAGTTTGTATACACTTATGTCCAAAAATTGAACTTGATGGACTCTAGATCGTATAAATTTAGATAGTAAGTAGCACAGATTGTGGGGAAAAGTATTTACATTTAGAAATACAAGATTTGAGAAGTTACTGGAAATCTTCTTATTGTCTTAAACTCTCATTAATTTTGCTTCACATATCAAACTAATGCATACTCAGCAAAAGAGTTTGTAAATAGTTCAGAAAATATTCGTCTTCAATAGATAGCGATTCTTGCTAGCTGACTACGTTGTTCGACACATGTTCACAAGGTAATGTGTAGAAATCTCGGTACTCTCAGCTATGAAATGCAGCTGGACAAGTCGTCAAGAGCTTCTTCTCTTGAATCGCTCTTCCAATAGCATGCTGACTACGTTGTGATATACACCTGTCCTTGTGACTAGTATAGGATTAGTTAGTGTGTATAGAGACTGCAAGAACTCTGCGTCAGATCAGCTGTCTATTCCGAGCTACAGCTAGTCATAGTTGTAGAAACCATCAGATTATTGAGTCTGCCAATAGACACCATTCCATACCGGTAGATAGCTGAAAGGTAAGAATATTCTTCCTTCTCTTCTTCCTCCAATACATGAGTTATCTCGAGTTTATAGTACTGTTTCATTTTGTTAGAATGAGTCAAGAGAAAATCTACGATTGCCTTGTTCGCTAACACTTAAGATCAATCTATTTCAATTATAATTTTCGAAAATAAATAAACTGTACTATTTATTTTAAAGGGCTACAAACGAAGAAAACAACGAAGCAAATAATGTTAAAAATCATTTAACAAATGAATGGGGTAAAGTACCAGATACTGCTCGTTATTATAAGGTAAAGATAAATCATTTCACTATTTTTTGGTTTGGTATTGAATATTATTTTGTATTTTAAATAAAGAGTAAAAATATTTCATGGGTTGTTATTGGTGATGAAAATTATGGTGAAGGTAGTAGTCGTGAACATGCTGCACTTCAACCAAGATATCTTGGTGGTCGAGCAATTATTGTTAAAAGTTTTGCTCGTATTCATGGTAAATAAATGCGTTTTAAAAAAAAACTTTATAATTGATTTTATATTTTAGAAACGAATTTAAAAAAACAAGGTTTACTTCCTTTAACTTTTGATGATCCAACTGATTATGAAAAAATCAAATCAGATGATAAAATTTCTTTAGTTGGTCTCAATAAATTAGCACCTAATGAAGTATATTTGATTTGGAATTGAATTGAATTGAATTTTTGTTTTTTTTTTCTATTTATAGTCGATTGAATGTCGTATTAAACATTGTAATGGTAAAACTGAAACAATTAAACTTAATCACACATTCAATGAATCACAAATTCAATGGTTTAAAGCTGGTTCAGCACTTAATGCTATACGTATATTTTTGGCTTCAAAACAAGGAAATAAAATGATAGATCAGGCAACAGGTGAATAAATTATTCAACTGATGCTTTATTGTTTGTCTTCCATTGAACGTCTCGCTATATTTTTTACATTTTATTGGAGTTTTTTCATATTGTATCTGACTAATACTTTTTTCTAATTAATCAACGTTCATTATATTTTTTTTACAAAACCTAGATTCGAGTGCATTCATACTCTATATCGTAGTAAGTATACATCTTCGTGATAAAGGAAAGAAAATTTTTCTACACTTGATGTTATTTGCTATATGAAGTTTATAGGAACGATGAAACTAAACCTAAATAAATACTCATGTTATGTAAATATTTGTTAATATAAGTATAAGAAGATATTATTCAAGTTTAACTATGTGTTTATACAGTTACATAAATATTTTTTTGTGTAGTAACTTAAGCTTGCATGATTTTTGCATATACACAGCAGAGAATACTCATAACATGAGGCGTACCTACTATGGACAAGAAAAGTGAGGTCATTTTTCTTAAACATCACAAAAACAGAATTGGATTCAAAGCTCACTTGTGGAAAATTTTTACGATCAAATACGGATTCTGAATATCAAAAAAATGAATTTGTAAAATATATTGTCAATATAAAAGCTGTTCATGAAGATTTATTTTCATATTTTTTTCACTATCATAATCAGTGCAAATAATACAAATAGTAATTCAAGTAGAGAAACTTGTGTCCAAAAAGACTATAAAATAAAAATAAAAATTATTATCAGATTTCTAATCTAATGGAAGGAATGGCAGTAATTGAAAATCCTACTTTTTGTCAAAATCTAGAGAGCATAAATATAGTTTTTTTTAGACTACATAAAACGCTATAATACACAATTCTCTAGAAATTAAACCGTCTCCAAGTTCTCTTCAATGATTTTTCGCTGAGATATAATAGTTTGATTGAAAGTCAAAATAAATGACGGTTCTAAAGGAAATCAGACAAAGTCTTCATTGAGGCTTTCGGTAAGACTGCTGTATTTCAGCGAAAAACCGTCACAGAGAACTCGGATAAATCTCATTTTGTGGGAAATTATTTACTCTATCGTACTATTGAGTCTAAATAAAATTATATTTACGCGTTCTGGATGCTGAAAACAAGTCTTTTCATTTTTTGAAATTTCTATGTTTGAAAAACTATAATAACTCTTTATTTCCTTATATTTGTGTTGGAAACAATTTTCTCTATTCGAACTACTATATGAACTTTTTGTAGCACTTTTGCAATGGAAAAAATTCAACATAAATCTTGTAGAACAATTTTGGTACCCATTTTATATGTTCGAACATGATTATCAGGATATGTTTATTTGATTACAATTGAATGAATTCATCAATCTTGCTTATTGTGTCTAAACTTTTTATATAATACTGAAATAATTGCAAACAATTCTTTAATAAATCTTTCTCAATTGATTAATCTATTATGATTATAATAAAATGTCTAACAGACAATGTTGAAGATAATATTCAATTTAGAATCAATCAATTGTTGTATTTTGAGATAACATTTTTTTTCTAGTATTTCGAAATAAGCATACATTTATGAGATCCGCATAATACATTCAATTACATAACAATATATATGATTATCGTATAATTATATATATTATTAGAATATTATAATGCACATTAGTTAGAATTGATTACATAGAAAATGAAATAAGTAACCCATTTCTTTTCTTCTGTTTATCTTAAACATGTTTTTTTTTCCTTATAAAACTGACGTTATTTTTCAAGTTCTTTAAACGTTGCTATCTGATTCTTATAAGTTTTGACTGTCGTGCCATTTTATTTTTAAGACTTCCACTATATTAATATTTAAAACTCCTTTTTTACAATATTAAATATTAACTTTAAAGTCTCACTTATTTTCCTTTTACATCAACAGAGAGACCAGTCTACTATTATCAAATCTCATAAGTACTGTATCTTTCCAAGTAATTTTAACAAACATAAGGAAATTATTTTAGACATATAATCTATCATGTCAATATTCATTTTTATAACTATCATATTTATGTGCCAGCAACGCCCAAAAGTCATCATATATTTCTTTGTATGTAATCAGGTCATTAACGAGACTTTCTACAGTTTATGATTAATATACATATTTCTTTATATTATGATTAAACATGTTGATTTCAGTGTTGTATATCAGATGGGAAAAGACACTAAAATCTTATTAATTCATAATCTCATAATAATAAATAGAAAAGAGACATATGTACTTTAATAACCCTCTTTACCACCTGGTGATGACATTTTCTTTATTTATCTATCTGTGCACTTGGTATATGAGCAGTGGCAATTTATATAATGACATTGACATTTTATGAAGAAGAATGTCACCAAGTTAATACATATAAGAGAAAAATCTCTTTTCATTTCCAATAATGCGGATAAGAATGAATTAAAGAATCCAGAAAAAATAAATAATATTAAAATTAAAAAATCTAAAGGTATTTTGTCACTTAGGAAAAAAAAATATCATTCATGCATGAATAGAGCATAGCAAACATCATCAATAACCAGTTGATTTACGCTTCAGAAGAGAAAATATAACGTAGAGAAGTGTTTGATTCCTTGAGGCGAATAAATCATACAGAACGAACGAAAAATGACAAGAAAATATTATCTTCAAAAGTAATAAGTCGTAGAAAAGAAAGATAACGTTGCTTTTGAGACATCAGGTGACATATTCTCCTGTAGCTTTGGCGTAAAAGAAATACTTCAGCTGTCACAATAACTTATATAGTTGTAATATTGCCTAAAGAGCTATTTGTTTTTTCTATTTGATATATTATATACAATTGTTATTGTATTTTTCAATGTTTAATCAGGTAATTTATTTATTATTATGTGTGAATGCATTGGTTTGTTGATGTTGGCTATAAAGGGAAAAAAGTAACATTCGAGATGTTTTCGTCGTTCTCCCAATACATTTATCGATCGATTGACCTTGTTGAGTTTGACAAAGGAAAAGAAAAGTGTTCTTAGGATTAATATCAGAATATTTGAAGAAAAAACACCGGAAGTTCGTATTCTTTTTATTAGAAAAAGTTTCACAAACTTTTTCTTCATCATCACTTATTTGTTTTCTGTTTCTCTTTCTTTCAAAATATTAAATATTGTAGATAATAACAAATCTATAGCATTATAATCACTGAGAATATACAAGAATAAAAATACCACATGCTATTAAAGATCAAAAAACAACAATATATCAGTTCTACTGTCTATTTTTTCGTCGATTGATAAAATCAAAGCATATGTGAGCATGTGCAATAGATATCTTCCACTCAGCATGTCTTTTTGTCTCATTTATTAATTGATTATATACGTATGCACGATCTTACATAGAATTTTTTTTTTTATTTTTTGTAATCAATTGGTAGCTTTAGTCTATAGAGATAACAAATAAGCGAAACGGATGTTGTCGTATTTTACCGCTATTCTAATGACGATAGAATGTATCCGCTCTCACAACAGACAAAAAAAAAAGAAATTGACTTAGATAAACTATGATAATCGACTCTTGACTTTGTTCAATAGATGCATGAAAATAATGTTCTATCTCTCTCGTCTTTTCTTGCTGTTTCTATTTTTTCTTCTTCGTTACTCTAACATCAACTTATGTTTTTCCTTTCCTTTCTTCTTCCTCTTCTCTTAACTTAGAGCAAGGAAGAGATGCACAAATGTCTGTTACTATGTTTTTCCAGTATCACCATCGGCACATTCTCGAGACGATAATTACATATACATCGAGGGCTAGACGATAGAACGCATCTCAAGCTAGTCTTAGCTGAAGATAGATGATATACATTGTTGTTTCTTTCGATAAACGTGAGAACACTAGCCATGTATCATTCTTGTTTCTTCTATATTTTGTTTAGAACGTCGTAAGTTTTTTCCTTCTTTTTCTTCTTCTTTTTCTTCTTCTTATGGTGCAATAAAAAAAAAAAGCACTAAATACTAGTAGTCAACATTACCATTATAATAATAAAAAAAGGAAGAAAACATAACTGTTATACACGTTTTCTTTTTCTCTTAAGAAGAATATATTATGCATAGACCTATCAACCACTTTGCGTATGTGATGAGGGTTAATCGAGAGCATATTACCAATTCATTTTTGTTCCATGTGGTAAGAGTTGTAGGAAATCTGAAGGTTTATTCTCATTGCCATAATTATTCTTGATATTATATATTGTAGATAAAGTGATGAAAACACGAGGACAACCGTTAGAGAATTGGAAAGCTTTCTCTTTTTTTGACAATATGAATTTATTACTAATTCATAATAGAACAAGTACTCAGTGGAAAATGTCTCAATTAGAATTGGATAATTGTGTAGCAAAATTAAAATTATGATTCGATTTAGAAGATTTTTTTTAGCAACATTTAATGTTGAAAATCTTCTAAATCGGTTATAATTAAGTTTTTTTTTTTGGTACAATAATCCGATTATAATGCAAATATTTTTCATCAGAACATATTTATAAATATAGACATTTATTTTTTTTGGTCTCTATCAATAGTCATGCGACGAGAACAAACGAATACCTTGTGCTCTATCAATCTCTTATCAATCATCGAGAAGAAGAAAGAACGAGGAGGAGAAGAGAAGGAAAAAACGGCAAAGAGAAAAAAAGGAATAAGATCGATTCTTTCTTTTTTTCCTTTTGTTCTATTATAATTGTTACATGCACACAACATACTCGTTATTCATCAGGGTCTATCATCTATTAAGAGAAAAAAAATCATTCGTATTTTTTTTTCTTTTTATGTTATTTATGTATTGTAGGTAAGCAACTAGACGTCAATCGAGGTACAATGGAGTCAAATCTGACGTCAAGTTTCCTTAAAATTGGTGATACAGTAGCTTTATATGCCGAAGGAACTGTTTGTGGATTTATTAGTACTCTCGGGTATGATAGATTGTTGTTTTATTGTTTCATTTGAATATGTTTATATGAAATTGATAGTCTTGTTGATGATCGATGTGTTGTACAACCTGATTCCGGTGATTTACAGAAACCACCAAAAAAATTTCGAGGTAAACAAAAATTTCAAGGTCTTCTTTTGCTCTATCTTTCTTATAGATTGTCTATTTCGTATTTGTCCAAGTCATCGATATAGTGCTCAAACTCAATATTGGAATGCATTAAAAAGTTCAAGTAATGCTAGAGATTTAAAAAAATTACAACTTGCTGCCGATACAGAAAAACGTCAAAATGAAGAAGAAAGTCGAAAACAAACTGGCACTATTATAAAATATGGCGATACTGTTGCACAGTTATTACATATAAAAAGCAATAAATATTTAACTGTGAATAAACGTTTACCAGCATTTTTGGAAAAAAATGCTATGCGTGTTTCCCTCGATAATAGTGGTACTGAAGGTTCATGGTTTCAAATTGAACCTTATTATAAATTACGAGCAAAAGGCGAACGTGTACGTTTATTTATTTTTTTATATGATTAATATTTCTTGTCAAAAACACAAATATGATTTATAGGTTGTAGTAGGTGATAAAGTTGTACTTATGCCATATAGTGGTGGACAACCATTACATGTTAGTGAATTGGAACTACCAGATCATCCTGGCTCCAAAGAAGTATGTACATATACAAAAGAAAATTTGTTTTCAATTCTCATATTAAGCATGAAATAATGTTGTTTATTATAAAATTTCAAAACTAGAGAGATGATTAAAATGACAAAAAAAAAGTAAAAATTGTTCTTTTCTAGTGTTGCAGTGTTATTAATCTCCACACGGTATTGAGAAAAGAAAGGGAGAAAAAGATGATTTATTTAGTTTGAAGTGCAGTGAAATTCTTATTTTTCATTTTTGCATGTGTTATGTGATTGTTTTTTTCTCTATTATTTAGGTCAATTGTCATGCGTATACTTCCGTATGTTTGATGTGTATTTGTAGACACATATCATGTTGACTAGAGAAAAAGATGTTTTTTTTATCTTTTTATTTTGCCTATTTATTAATACAATGTTGCTTCTTTGTTTATAATAATCTTTCATTAGAAGTAGATCTTCGTATGAATTTCTTTGTGATGAAAATTTTCGAAATGAGTTTCTTTAAAATCATTCAAAAAATGAAGCATTTATAGGTTTGTTTTTGTTAAAGAAATGTAAAATTAAACATGAATTGATTATAACGACAAGAACTAGTACATTTAACTTATATGAAACGTTTTGTTTCGGTTATATGAGTATGAAGAATAAGAGTGCATTCAATTATCATGTGGACATGAAAATAAGTTAGAACTTCACATAACCATTTGTCTGAGAATCTTGCCGCCGTGTAAGCAGGAATAGAAAACTCATATGTGCTATGAAATTTTTTTTTTTAAATTCGATATTGACTCGATAATGGAATAGACCATACGAGTAGACTTGAATGATGTTGTTTTATTCAATTATTTCAGTATAGTTTTAATTAAGTAATTATCTAGGAAAGAAAAATAAATATTTAAACTCTTTTGATATTAATTACTGGACATCGATTGAAATCAGACAGTGTTCCATGAAAAGAACTACTCAACGAGTTCTTTTTTACAGGAATTAAATATAATGCTCAGCAGTCTAAACTGAACTACTCCGATTTTTTTATATAAAGTTTTCAACAAATAAATAATGAATTAGATCAATCTAATCACCATCATTTTCTTTTTATTTCTATTTCAAACAGCATATTTTATAGTAGTTCTGTTCAATAGGCCTATAGCTAGTACTGACATTGACCATTGTACGCACTTAAACTATGACCTTGCAGATACGATCGTGTCGATTATTCTCTAAATGTATAAATCATCGCGATGCTCGTTGAATTATTATTCTGATTTATGTGATCTAAAATCAACTAATTTATAAAAGTGAGATAAATTTTAACCTTAAATCCATTCTCTTTCAATGTAAAATGTAATGAAATTCATTTGAAACTGTAATGAACGTGATCATAAGAGGTGATATATATATACGCTAAGAGTTTTTCGAAGCAGATATTTGCATTACAAAAAAGAGAAAAATAATGTTGATTGAGGATTATGTGTCATGAAACTTGACATTTAATAGATAATCATCAGTGTTCTATCCGAATTTTCTCTTTTGCAGGGGCAATTTAAAACTCCAGGAAGGCTTACTCAATGTTTAGAGGGCGTCTTTCCTTCGAAAATTCATACTGGATAAACACTGACGATCATATAAATTATTATTCAATTTATTGTTTGATACAATTCAAGATGTAGAACTTGTTAAAAGTAGAAAGAGTAGTCTATGTTTATACAATTTTGTAGCATAAACTATTCATCAAAATTTGTCCTTCAAATTCATCTGAAATACTTGAACATTTACTACAAAGAATTCTATGTTTTCATTATTAGCAAAATACATCTATAGAAACAAGTATTTTCTAAATGATGATATGTTTTTTGAATAATTTCAATTTATTTTTATTTCTATATTTTCATGAAGATCTACTTTTAAAGCAGAATAATAAGTTTTTAAAACTAAAATGACCAATATATACAATTTTAATTCATATTCTAATGATTTCGCATGCACCACAATATCCCGCCGCTTTTGTATGAATGTTTGTTTGAGTTGAATCACTTTTCATACGAATATAATAGATCAATATTCATTAGAATTTATTTTACAATAGGTTAATTCTCATCTTCAAACAAGTTGGAAAATTGTTTTATTTATGTCATGTCGTGAGGCAACAAACGAAGTACTTAAAAGTGTAAGATATAGATCTAATTTTATAAATTATATAGATGACATATATATATATTGTTGTTTTTTGCTTATTAAGGGTGATATTGTTCGTTTATTTCATGCTGAACAAGAAAAATTTTTAACATGTGATAATTATCGAAAAAAAAGTGTTGTCTTTCTACGTGCTACTGGTCGTGTATCAGCAACAGCAGCAACATCATCAAATGCATTATGGGAAATAGAAGTTGTACAACAAGATCCATGTCGTGGTGGTATTGGACAATGGAGTTCATTATTTCGTTTTAAACATTTAGCTACAGGACAATATCTTGCAGCTGAAGTTGATAATGATCAAACATTTGATGCAACGCGACAAAAGCTACGTGGTCCACCAGGTACACCTGTTTTTGCTCTTGTGCCTATTCCACATGGTTATGATATATCATCGATATTTGAACTTGATCCAACAACAATAACACGTAATGAAGAAGCTGTACCATGGGGTTCATATGTACGTTTACAACACATATGTACAAGCACATGGGTACATTCAACAAATATTAAATTAGATCCTGATGATGATAATGTACGTTTTAAAATTGGTTGTGCATTAACAAAAGAAGATCGTGAAGCATTTCAAATAGTACACGTTTCACCAGATGAAGTACGAGATTTAGATTTTGCTAATGATGCGGCACAACATTTTGATATGACAGTGTCAAAATGGGAAAAAGTTGGAGCTATGAATGTACATGCTAATGATAGAAAGTAAGTAAAAAATATTAAATATTCTAGTAGTTTTTAAGGAAACGTCATGAATCATTACTATGATGCGAAGAAATTAATGAATCATTTTTTTTTTGATAAACAGAAACAAGATCATAGGATGTAAATTGATACATTGGAGAGTAAGTTAAAGAAAATTAATTGTTGTTTTTGTTTTTCATTGCAATCATATTTCGATAAAGAAAAACATTTTTTTGAAGGACTAAGAAATTGTTCAAATACTATCAAAAATTGAATAATAAATTATGCATAAAAAGAGAAAGATTAGCGTAACTGATAATTTGATCTCGCGGTCCGATATGAATATATGTTACAACTACGTAGTTGGATAAACAACGTACTTTTTATTTTACTTCAATATGCTTTTCGCGTTAAAATACTTTGCAATGCAGTGTAGATATTAGTAAAAGAGATTTATAATGTAATCTATGGAAATACAGATGTAAGAAATATAAGCTGTTTATTTTTCCGAATAAGTGATAATCGTTTTACAAATAGAAAAAAAAGTATAACTGAAATAAAATGCTTGTATTTATTATAGAAAATCAGTATTAAGTACTAATTTCAGATTGAAAATTTTTTGTATCAAATTATTTTATTTAAATGACCATATTGACTGTGAAAACAATTCTAAATATTGAATAGTATAATTAGCACCCTTATAGGTCTCGGGTAAATATATAATTCATTGTAGTTTATATAATAGATATAGGTCAGATGATAAAAACAAACAAACAAACTAAATGTCAATAAGACAAAATGATACCAGTTTGTTTTTTTACTGACATTCTTATTTGAAATTGATTGTTTTAGGCAAGTAATAATGCTCTTAACAGATATTGTATACTTTCTTGCTTGTCAAGAAAATAATGGTACTGATCCATTTGAAATACAAATTTTAAAACCAAATCGTGAAAGACAAAAATTAATACGTGAACAGAATATACTAAAACAAGTAATAATTAAAATAAAAACAAGAAAAAAAAAATAATAATAAATCTATTTTTATAATAGTTATTTCGTATTCTTCGAGTATTAAAACCACGTTTAGAGCAAGAACGTTCAAATGTAAGTTCAACAAATACTTCAGCAACACGTTCAGATTATCATTATCATCAATATCAAAGTTCAGCAATAGTAAATAGTGATTCACCTATGTCATCACAACAACAAGATGCTGATGTACGTTATTCAACAGCATTTTATCAAATAAAAACAATATGTCGTCTTTGTTATCGTACACTTAAACATTGTCAACAAGAATATAGAAAAAATCAAGTAAAATTAAAATAATTTTCTTGTTTGATTTTATTTGTTTAATTATTTTCAATCAAATTTTTATTTAGGAAACAATTGCAAAAGAATTTTCTTTCATGCAATCTCAAATTGGTTATGATATTCTAGCTGAAGATACAATAACAGCTTTATTACATAACAACAAAAAATTATTAGAAAAACATATTACTGAAAAAGAAATCGATACATTTGTTAAATTATTAAGAGAAAAACGAGATTGCAAGTAATGTCATTTTTTAAAATTTTTTTTTGTTTAATAATAAATTATAATCATTTTTTTTTTTTTTAATTTTAAGATTTCTTGAATATTTATCAGATTTATGTGTTTCAAGTAATCAAGCTATAGCAAGAACACAAGAAATGATATGTAAATCTGTATTAGAAAAAAATTCTGATATTTTAATACGAACAAAGTTTGTTCTTTTAGTTTTGTTTCATGTTGAAAATAATTTTCTTTTGTATTAATTAGACTTGAAACAAAAGGATGTGTTGAAGATATGATATTAGATGATAGTATGAGTCCCCCAATGGGTTTTTCAAATCAAAATATTTTACGTGAAGTTATATTAACATGGGATGGAAAATCTGAATCAATTGAATTTATGGCCGGTGTTGTACGAGATCAACCAGCACATCTACGACGAGAAGAATTTCGAACTATTTTAGAATATTATAGGTAATTATATCAAGGGGCTTTAAAAAAATGATTCTCATAAGTCTCATATAAGAACTGATAACAACATTTTCATCCAATAGTTAATCAAATTGAGTTAAGTTTAGACATAAGTAGAATCAGTCTCTATTGGTTTCTGATAAAAACAAAACAGTCAGTTCTGATATCTAATTTAGCAGAAATTTGGTTAGTTTAGAGCTTGAAACTATTTTTTATCATCATCTATAAATATCCAACTTCGTGCTACTATACAGCGACTCATTAAGTCGTTCATGTTTTTCTTGTCAAACGCTCAATTAGATATGAATACGATCAATTATCGTAGTTTCGGCCTTAATTTTTTCGGAAACAAATTTATCTATGTTGAATTAACTCATTGTCTACTGCTAAGCTATAATCGAACAGTAAATTCAAGTAAAAGAAGCGCATAAATTGTTTAATTATTACAATCTAGGTTTTTCTCACTAAACAAACAGTAAAATACTGACAGTGATGTTGCTAAAACTGATTCTGCTGGAATATTGATTACACTAACATAGGTATTCACTGAAGTACTGACATTCGTATTTTCTGTAACATTATGACAACAGCTCTACAAAAATATGACCTTTTTGTAGCGGTGTGTTTCAGTGAGCAAAGGCGCACGCATGTCAGTGTGTAACAACTATACTGAGTCTATGATGTTGATCATCAGTGAACTGAAACTGTACTGCTCTAATTAACGAATAATTTTTGATAGATTCTTTTAAAATATCGAATTAAAAAGATTTTGAAGATCATCTTTCTTATGGATTTCCTTTTTATATCAAGAAAAGGCACTTGATTTATTAGGAAAATCAAATAGCGTGACGGCTTATAAATATTCGAAACAAATATTTCGAAAAAAAACATTTTAATCAAAACAAAAGTATTAATAAACAGTATCCATTGATTTAAGAATTAATTAATTAATTTTCATCTAAATATAAATAGTTCAAAATTCTTTTTTTTTTCCTAGATATCAACTCAATTTATTTTCTCATATGTGTTTTGATCGACAATATTTAGCTATTGATAATTTATCATTAGAATTATCAATTGAACTTATATTAGCGTAAGTAGATTAAAAATGATATTTTATTTTAATTCAAGATTATATTTTACTTCAGATGTACAAAAAGTGAAAATCTTCCAGCTGATTTACGTGCAGCATTTTGTCGTTTAATGATTCATATGCATGTTAATCGTGATCCACAAGAAGAAGTAACACGTATTAAATATGCACGATTATGGAATCAAGTTAAATCAGCTATTTCATTAAATGAGTAAATTATTGACTAACAAGAATCATAAATTTTCTGTTTGATTTAAAAATTCTTATTTAGTTATGATCAAACAATAAGCGGTTCACTTGAACTAACAGAAAAAAATGAAAGTCAGCCCAAATTTGAAGCAACTATGAAATTTGTTGAAGATTATCTTAAAACTGTTGTTGAACAACCAAATTCATTTTCTGATAGAGAACAAAATAAATTAACACATGAAGTAAAATAAAGAAATTTTTTTCTTAAAAAAATGATTTTCTTTTTGTTTTCTGTCTTAAGGTTGTAAATTTAGCTCGTCGTTTAATATTTTTTGGTTTTTATAGTTTCGAAGATTTACTTAAATTAACTCAAACATTACTTGGAATTCTTGATACAAGTAAAGTTGTATCATCACATATTCGTCTTACAAATCCTGAACAAGGTTAAATTATAAAAAAAAAAAAAGAAATTTAATTATTGAAATTTCCTTTTCTGTTTCGAATTTTATTTTTAGTTACAACAATCGTAGCGAATTCGAAAACATCAAAATATGATCATATGCTTTCGACAACTAATGCATATAATGTTAATGATGTTGTAACTGAACAACAAACAGATATACTTGATAATTTAGCTTATGAAACTAAAATGAATGTTATTGCTATTCTTGAATTTATTCTTGATATTCGTCTTGATTTTCGTATTTCACGTCTTATATCAATATTTAAACAAAAATATAATCGTCTTGGTATGTTAATTATTTTTTTCTGAAACGCGATCTAAAACAAGTGTTGAAGTATATAGAATTGACACTTGTATCCATCGTTTCTCACAGACCATTGAAGACATTACCATGGAAATGTCACAAACCATGATAGATGCTCGTAGACCATGATAGACATGTTATAAACAGATTTCAGCAACTATATAGCACAGATCTGACAGTAAAGGTCCTTTCCCCTTCGCCTGCATCACTTACTTTGACAAACTTTGTTAATGCACGATCAAAGATCAAGAATTAATAACATTTTGTTATCCTATATGAACTACTTCATTATTGCTTTTCTGAAAGATTAAGAAAACGAATGATGAAGAAATATGTCCCAAAATAGATAGAATAAAACAATCTCGCTATGATTAGCAATAGCAATTATATAGCATTTCACATGTTAATCTTGCTGTGATTACACTAACAGCTTCTCAAATTCGATTTACTAATTTCATTTTTTTTTAAATCTTTAGAACCATCAGTTAATTCAATTGGTACAGATTTGCAAGCTTCGGATATTGAATGTATATTTGATTCTAATTTAACACCAATAAATGAACCAAATCTTGATTTGGATGATACAAAAGGAAAAACATTTCTTAAAGTTTTAATTAATTTAATCATGCATGATTATCAACCATTAGTATCACGTGCATTATCATTATTATTTCGTCATTTTAATCAACGTAAAGAAACATTACAACATTTAAATCAAGTACAATTACTTGTTAGTGAAACCGATATTAAAAATTATAAACAAATTAAATTAGATCTTGATCAATTAAGATTATTTGTTGAAAAATCTGAATTATGGGTTTATAAAAAAGGAAAAGATGGAATATTAACGTCATCTATTGGAAATGAAATGAATATTGATCATGATGATAGAAAAGATGATGAATTTGAAATTAAGGTATCATTAAATTTATAGTATCTTTCAGAGTTTGAAGATGAATTTTACAATAGTTTTTGAAATTGATTGAATTAAAATAAAAATATAATGCTTAAAGTTTTCAATCCAGAACTAAGATAGACACATATGCAATAAATCATTTATTAGAATGGATCACAATCTATTAAGTTTATTTACAACTACAGTCCGTCGAATTGGCCTTAAATACTGATTCTGTCGAATTCAAGGTCGAAAATGTTGAACTCATCGGGCTCTAGTCGTCTGCTAAATATATAGGACGCGCTAATAGCTGAATACAAAATAAAACGGAAAAAATATCTCATATCTTCGGGGCAACCATTCAAGTCTGATTAGAAAATATCATTGAGATTACCAAAGTAGGATTCGACCGGATCTGAATCTGAACATTTTGAACCCAGCGCGCTCTACTAACGATTGATGCATTCTAATTAAATTTTCCATAGGAATTTCAGTATATGCAATTAGTCCAGATATTAATGATGTTCCACAAAATTGAGTTGATATTTTACACATCATATAACCATTGATGAATATTTTTATTAATAAACAAATTTTTGAATGATTATTTTTCTTAAAGAAATTAGCTACATCATCCGGTTTCAACGATACCGAATTCGATATAACTGGTCCAAATATCAGTGAAGAATCTGCATATCGATATACATCAATATTTCAGGTTGGTACATCATCATCATCACAAAAATTTTTTTTTTGTCTTCAGCTTTTAATATTACAAAATACGGAACAAGTTACATTTGCTTATTTATTAATCTATTTCTTTTCGTTATCTGGGTCTTAATCACACCCGATAAATATCTTTTAGCCCATATCTTTCTGTGTATCTATCTGTTTTCCTAGGGTATACATAAATTCATTGATACGGTAATGGAAGAGTACTTATTTATATATATATACACATATTAATATCATTTTATTATTCGATTACTTTGCACACTCATTCTTCTTCTTTGACTGTCACTGTTTTGTCATTTTGGGCCTGAATATGCTTTCTTATCATTTAAAAAAAACACGAAAATATGATTTAGTGCATGATTAAGAAGAATAAAAATAAATCAAAATTAGATCTGTTTTTTTCTTGGCCTCTGCATGTTTCACTCTATTGAAAAAGTAAGATATGCCCATTCTTTCTTTTACATTGCAATAAGCATGTTTTTTTTTTAATTAATTGCCTTGCAAACTAATGAAATTTTTTTGCATATAGAGAAACAAGCATCCATTTATGATTTCAATATATATATATATTGAGATATATTATCTATTGAATATTTAGATTCTTCGTCGAATGATGAAATTATGTGTTGTTGAGGGTGTTGATGGAAATTTATATGCTCGAGAAAATGAACAACGTTTATTAAGAAATATGGATGTGCATGTTGTTGTACTTGATTTATTAAGAATTCCATATGATAAAGTAAAAAAAAAAAAAAGATAAAATTATGATTTAGTTATTTTTCTTTTCATTGGGGATAATTTCCTAGGCTGAAGATACTCGAATGAATCATATTATGAAATTAGCACATAATCTTTTACAATATTTTTGTTATAATAATCCAACAAATCAAGCAAAATTATATGAATTATATTTTAATGATTATCAACAAATATCTGAAGTATAATTAAAGAAAAGAAAACAAAAATTTTTATAATTTAATTTTTTTTGTTTAGGAACAAGAAGTTGAAACATGTTGTTATATATTTATGAATAATGTTCAAATGTGTAAAACAATAACTGAAAAACATGTCCAACATTTTGTTCATTTAATTGAATTACATGGTAGAAAAGTATTATACATCAAATTTTTACAAACAATTGTTAAAGCTGAAAATCAATATATTAAAAATTGTCAGGATATTGTTATGTCAGAAGTATGAATCAGTCAAAAAGAATAAAAGAAACTTCGAAAATTTCAATATGAATATTTATTTGATATGTTTGTTTTAGTTGGTTAGTTCCGATGAAGTATTAATGTTTTATGAAAAAGGAAATTTATCAGATCTTGTTGAACGTATGCAATCCGAAAATGAACGTTCAGATCCAAATTCATTATTAAATTATCACATACAACTTGTTCATTTATTAGCAATGTGTACTGAAGGAAAAAATGCATCAACAGAAATAAAATGTCATTCATTAATTGGTTTAGATGATATTGTTTTAATTGTTACACATCCAGATTGTACACCTGAAGTTTGTATTCAATAGAATAATATTTTAGTTTTATATTGCAATGAGTTTTTATTCTTAGGTTAAAACTGCATATATTACATTTTTAACTCATTGTTATATTGATACAGAAGTTGAAATGAAGGAAATTTATAATAGTCAACATATTTATACTTTAATTGAAAATTCATTTTGTATAGATATTGAAAAAGTAAGTCGAATTTTTAGTAGACAGATATGCAAGTATTTTGTGTTTTCATAATTGATGTCCTCGGATAATAATTATTGAGATCAAAGTATACACAGGATAGATTGAGTAGTATATAACAGTTGTGCGAGATATAGTAGTGACAGAAACAGATGTATATGATAAAAAATGTATTAGATGGAATTTATTGATTGACGTTAATCAATCAATGACTATGCAACAAACTGAAGTAGAATAATTTTGACTTCACTCTACATCCTATTTTAAAATAGAATTATGTCGTTGAAATAGTTTTCAATGTAAATCTTCAGTAAAATAACACACGGTGTAGCATAAATTCTTATCTGTAGATGAAGACTAAAGAGTTTACACACGATTTCTAAGTCTCAGAGCTGAGCAGGTATGAGTATGGGTACGTACTCGTACTTGTACTCGAAGGATTCGTACTCATATTCTTACTCGAGAAAATTCGCACTTGCTCCGTTCTGCTAAGTTTCACAAATGTTGTTTCAGTTATGTTCATTGAAGTCTCCTTTCGTCAACAACGAAAAATTAATGCCATACACTCGACTCGTCGAAGGTTGTATCTGTATTAGTATTAATTTATTTTATTTAAACACGTTTATGTACAATTAAATGAAAATAATCTGATCTTTTTTCTTAAAATATTTAACATCTAATGATAATGCACATGATACATGCTATAGGAAGCGATAAATTTTATTTTATTCTTTGTTTCGTCAGTTCAACTACTATGTTAACCTGCTATATATATTGATTTAATCGTTCAGTAAGCTTCCTAGTACACCATTCTTAATCTCGACAAACCTTAGCATAGACTGTTTTGTTTTGTCTAAACTTAAAATTTCATTAATTCATTCTTTTCTATGTGCATCCTATTCTAATTCCGCTAGATCAATAATACTACCGTCCTACTGATTGATCCCTACCATATGACTTTTTCGCTGCATTGAATATTAACACCTGCAATATTTAGACAAACTAGAATCTAGAGTAGAAATCTTAGATTCATAGAATATTTTGGAAGATTCTAAAAAGCTCCAAAATGACCTAAGCACTATTATTGCTTACGCGCCTTTTTTTATTGCTAGAAAAACATACCTTATGATCATTAGCTTTTTCTATACTCACTATTTTCTTCGAAAATATATGTGAGTTTCACAAAATGAAAATTTGTCATTTTTTTTCCTTTTGTTTTAGCTCATAACCAAAACATCTGAACGTCGTAATTTAGAAAAATATATATTAGATACTGTAACTGATTTAATTAATCAATTTTTCAATTCACCATTTTTTGAACAATCATCAGCACCACAGGTAAAGAAAACTGACTAAAATTCTAAATTATTCAATAAATCTTTTTTCGAATAATTCATTTCTTACAAAAAAATTCTTAAATATTTTTATCATGTCAAGAGTGATGGAAAGGTGAGATTTGCTCTTAGGATCAGTATATGCTAGATGATGGTCGATCACCAGAGATCGCACCATCTATAATCATTGCTACGTGGGAGGTATTTGGTTTATATGAGAAAAAAACTAACACTTTGTAAAATAAAATATAACTATGCATGTTTATTTCTCATTGCATGTTTTCTTTTTCTCATATTTTGCTCTCTTCTTGTAGCTTATAGATAAAGATGAAACAAAGGTAAGAATATCGGGATGATTCTTTCATAGCAATCTGTATGACATATTGACCCAAGAGCTTAAATCCTATAATTTGTTTCGGCAATAGTTTAAAACTTTCGCATCCTCTATCGCTGCACGTATGGATTGTACACCTTCTTCTTCTCTTTCCAATGATTCAAGTTTTTATATATGCATTACTTTCTTGTTTTTTAAATTAAATTTTTCAAAATTTTAGCATCGCAATACAACACTTATATCATTATATAGTCATCTAGCTCGATTAATAAGTGTACCATGGTTAACAACATCTGAACGTGAACGTGTAGATAGATGTATTCATATTTTATCATTAATTGGTAATAGACAAAACAAAACATAGTTCATGAAATTTAAGTTTTTATCTTATTGTTGAAATTTTAGCTGATCGTCGTGGTCTTAGTCATTTTTTACGTTCAAATAGTACATCAAGTGAAATGTCAACTCGTTCACGACGTACAAGTCGTAGTGCAACATCTGAACGAGTACATAGTGTCGATGCGGCATATAGTGCAGCACAAAGACATGATCATTTAGAAGATGTAGAACATAAACGTGTTATTGATAATTTTGTGGTAATTAAAAAGAATTTCAAAATTTAGAAAAAAAGTCAAAGAAATTTATTTATTTTTATAGGATTTTCTTTCTCAAGTTAGTGTTAGACTTAATCCACTTATTCAAGCTGAAGTTAGCGTACTGGTAGATGTTATTCGAGCACCACATGCACTCTTTTCTGAAACACATGAATCTCGTTTGAAATTTCTCGGTGGAACATTTGTACACAAGTATGTAGTATTATCCTCTGATAAACAACTATTTTGATTTAAAAATGTCAAATACAATCATTCATAAGAATATCTTAAATCGCACTAAATCCTTCTAACACATTCTTTAGACTAATAAATCATACAACAATGATGTTAATAAAATATCATGAAAAACAATTGAGTTTTCATGTACTCAATCTCTTAACCGATTATGCTCGTACAATGCAGCATAAACAGATTCTTCATTGGGAATCTAATCATGAGGTAGAACAAGATAATGTTTTAATTTGATTTCAATATGATAAAAAAAAACCCAATGATCTTTTGTCGAATAAAATTGTAGTTTGATTGATCAAACTTTTTTGCTATTGCTATATTTTCCCAGATGCAAAGCTATATTTCATTTGTTTCACTGTTGTTTTGCTCATGCTTCTTTTCTGCGGTTCTGTGTCATTTAGATTGATACAGCATGCCAAATATCTGCTTACACAAGCCGAGGAAAGCCTATGTTTGCGCATAATGCATGCACTCAAATCAATGGTCAAAAGCAATTATGAACATGATTCAAGGGTATCAAGGCTTAGCTTATAGCTTTGTTTAATTATTCAATATGAATATATATTTTTTACTATGAAATATGGTTTTCTTTAGGGACAAAATTTAAGATTAAAATTACTTCGAAGATATTTTTCTGATGATAAACAATATTTAAAATCACTTCATCAACCATTAAAAGGTTTCTTTAAAAAAAAACAATTGAATAAAAATCATCGGCTTTTTTTTCAAATTCAATTATTTTAGAAGAAGATGCTATTGAAAGATTAAGAATAACACAAAATGAATTAAATACCCAAGGAGCCAGTGATCTTGTTGTAGAATTATTTATGAGTGAATCACCAATAAATATACTTGAAGAAAGTGTTAATTTAGCTATAGCATTATTAGAAGGTGGAAATACAGAAGTTCAGGTTAGACTTGTTGTAGTTGTTTATATATTTAATGGGATGACAAAAGAAATAAATATTTATAGACAAGTATTTGTCGTCATTTACATGGATGTGAGACAGCATCGGAAAAATTTTTTCAAGTTTTTTACGATAAAATGTGTATTGCTCAAAAAACATTAAAAAGCATGCCATCAACAACACCTGATTTAGAACAACGAAATGATGAGTTTGATGATGTAGTATTTACACCAAGATCTGGTTTAATATCACCTATATTCAGTCCATCAGTTATTGATCGACAAACATCCGTTGCTGTTGATCAACAATCATCAATGATTCCAATAACAGATAATGATTTTAATTTTGACCAACAGTCAACTATTATTTCAACTGTTAATTCATCAGAAGAAGGTCAGCGGAATTTTTTTAATTTATATATTATGAAATCAATTGAAATTTTCATTGGTTTAGATATTGTTTCAATTCCTCAATCACAAGAACAACCACAAGCATTAGTTGTAATATCAACTACTTATCAAGAGCCAGCTGCATTAGAAAATACAAAAAATTCACCAACATCATCATTTGATAGTTTTGATTATCCGTAAGAATTTCTTATGAGAGAGATACTATAGAATAAAAAGAAAATTCTTCATAAAATGTTCACACATAGAAAATTGACATAAATCAATGATGTCAAAATTTAACAACAGAAAAACTACTTCGGTTTTGTTTATAGAACATATAATGCAAATTAAAAGTTTTCGTTTATACTCTCTGTAAGATCAATATATATATGATAAGTCATAAAGTCATTTATATTGTAAATGAGGAAATTTTTACATCTTCTGCTTTATAGATTATGAGAGAAATCTGAAGCATGAAAGAGAAATTGAAAAAGACAATATCTTAGTTGAAGAAGTCAACCATGTTTCATTATAATCGCACAGTAGACTTTGATTACTATCAAAATCTGTAACAGAAGTTCAAATGTCTCGACTTATGTTTCACATTCATGTTAGATTATATTGTATAATAAATATTCACTAAATCTTCTACTTGCAGAACTTGAGAAAAATATTCAATTATGCCAATTTCGTCTATTTAAGTTATGAATTAAACAAGAGTTGTATATTTCAAAAAGATCTAATATGAGCACTGATTACCAGACATGGAACCGATCTGACTAGGCAGAGCAAGTCGGACCGACCGAGTTAACTGTCGGTCTGAAATTTATATCGATACTAGACCAACAAGTTGTTGTACTATTCCATCTGCGGATAGTGATACTTGACATAGTCAACCTTCAACAAAGTTTCATTCCACATCCGGTATGAGATATCAAGAGCGACAAAAACTAATAAGCCACACCGGTGCGGGTTTCATCTCTGCTTATAATATAACTTTGAAATTAAGTTAAACTAAAGCAAATTGATTAAAATTCATTGTGATAATCTATAATTTATAATGAAATATATTGAAATGGTTTATTTATTTAGCTCTCAAGGTCGTCGTTATAAACTTCCATTTGAAATTCGTATAATGCAACCAATATTACGTTTTCTACAGTTACTCTGTGAAAATCATAATCCTGAATTTCAGGTTTCTATTTTTCTTTTTCTTTTTTGTTACTTCTCATTTGTTTTTCTTTTTGTTTTTGTCTTTATTTAACAGAATTATCTTCGATTACAAGATCATAATAAAACAAATTATAATCTTGTTTGTGAAACGTTAAAATTTCTTGATGCTATTTGTGGTTCACAAACTGGTTTACTTGGTTTATTAGGAAATTATATCAATGAAGATAATGTTGAATTAATCAATCAAGCATTAAATACATTGACTGAATATTGTCAAGGACCATGTCGAGATAATCAAGATGCTATTGTTAATCATGAATCCAATGGTATTGATATAATCATTGCTATTGTTTTAAATGATATAACACCTTTAAATCAAAAAAATTATGATCTTGTACTTGAATTAAAAGTAAATTCGATCTTTGGATTTATTTTTTTTTATTTCGTTATGCATAAATAAATATTGATTTTTATTCTTTTAGGATAATGCATCAAAATTACTTTTAGCTGTGATGGAAAGTCGAGATGATAGTACAAATGCAGAACGTATTCTTCGAAATATTGTACCTATTTCACAATTAGTAATGAGAAATATTTTTTTTTTGCAGAAAAAAAAATAGAAACTCTTGTTTTTTTAGCTTGATGTTGGTTGTGAAATTTATGCTCGTGGTAAACAACAAGAAATAGAAGAAAAAAATACACAAGAAAGTGAAAATGATGAACTATTACATGACGAAGAAGCGAATGAAAGCTCCGATAATGTTGCTCAAACAGTTGGTCATAATATATATATTCTTGCATATCAGGTATATATGTTAATAAAATTCTTGGTTTTATCGTGGTCGCAAAAAGTCTTGCTATCAGGTAAAAGATACCTGAACTTTTATCTTTTAGTCTCATAATTTGACCATATATAGAGCATGTTGAATTTTGATCGCAAGAGATAATTGAGACTTAATCGGTCTTCATATACTGAGGAGCTAGAAGGTCAATATAGACTTTTTCCTTCACTAGAGGATATCTTAAGATAGAAAACAAATTTCATGACGTTAGATCTTTCATTTGACAGATCAGTGTTACTGCTATCACCAATCAAAATTTCATATCAAATAGTTTTAATTTGCCTGACTTATGGAGTATTCTGTGAGTAATTTTCACATGACAGTTGATGGAAATCGTTGAATATTGACTGATATCTTCGACTAAATGAAAACCCATTGTTTTGCCTCCATCCTGAGATCGCCTCAGAAAATGAAGACTCTCTCAATATGAGGTTACAGCGGACTAAGGCATCCTATCTGTGATACAATATAGACATGCGAAGGTTAATTTGTTAATCAGAAAATGGAAATTAACACATTTAAATAATGGAAAACCAGAAAAATGTCAAAAAAAGCTTTTTTGGGGTCTAGGGAAAAACCAATGTTTTCATCATAAATTCTTTTCATTAACACGAATCGACCTCGGGTTGCTGCTTGCGATCAGGATTTACAGAACTCAATTTGCAGTCAAAATGTCATGGCAAAAAAATTAAAGTTTATATACTTTTTATCTGATAGCCAGACTTCTGGCGACTACAGTATTAGAGGTATACAGGTATTTGTCATTTATTTGATGTCTTTGTGTTTTCATGTTGTACGACAAATGGAAAAGTATTCTCAGGTACACAAAAAAAAACAATTAAAAAAAGCTCCGAGAATACGTTGAAAGAATTTTTTGTTTTCGGTATACATCTTGTTATTCTCCTAGCTTATTCAGGGATTATGGGAAGTTTTTGAATTAAGAAAAAAAATACGACGAATTTTTGACATATTTTATTTATTTATTTTTCATTATTTGTAACTTTTAGCTTGCTCGTCATAATCGTGAACTTGAAGTTTTAATGAAACATCGAACATTAAATGATGAAGCATTATCATATTACCATAAACATACAGCTGAAATTGAAATTATTCGACATGATCGATCTATTGAACCAAGTATTTATTAATATTTCTTGTTAAATTTAATATCAAATTAATTTATCTTGTTCTTTCGTTTATAGTTGTCTTTCCTGTCCCACAATTATGTGAATTTTTAACCGTTGAAAAAAAACAAAAAGTCTTTCTAACATGTGAACAAGATGAACAAGGTTCAAAAGTAAAAGATTTTTTTGAAAAATTTCCTGAAATATTCGAAGAAATGAAATGGCAAAGAAAATTACGTCATCAACCAACACTATATTGGTTTTCATCACATATGTCGTTATGGAGTGATATATCATTTAATTTTGCTGTCCTAATTAATATTCTCGTTGCTGTTTTTTATCCATTTAACAAAGGTCTTAAAGGTATAAGTAATTGATTAATGAATGAAATAAAAATATTTTATGTTTCCGGTTTTTGTTTCTTTATAAAAGATCTTGATCCTCGTGCATCAGCAGCTATATGGAGTGCATTATTTATTACATTAATTGCTATTTTAATAAAACCAAATGTAACATCAATGCGTATGTTTTTTGTTGCTGGAATTTTACGTTCAATTTATTCAGTGGGTCTTGGACCAACTTTATGGTTAATGGGTGCAATACAAGTAGAATTTATTTTGAATTTTAATAATGTTTTTCTTTTTTTTTTAACAATTTTAGGTTTTAAATAAAGGTGTATTTTTAGTTAGTTTCATGGGTAATAATGGAACATTTTCAAAATCAAGATATGAAAATTTAACGAATTTTGAACTTGTTTATCATGTCGGATATTTATTGCTTTGTGTGTTTGGTCTTTGTCTTCATGAATTCTTCTATAGCTTATTGGTAAGTTAAATATTTATATAGAGAATGTGATTAATGTTTTGTAGCTTGATTGTAAATTTGTTTCGTTGTTTTATGTTGTTTATGAATAGAAAAATCTGATTTAAAGATTAAATTTAAAAAAAAAGAGATTTTTTATCCAAGAGATAATCATAATTCAGCTTTTAACTATCAGACAAATCATATCACAGATTCTTAATAACTTTTGTTAGTATCACTTGATGAAACGTCTTTATTAATGGTCAGATATATCAAGATCACGTATAAGATATATTAACTTTTATTAGATCTCTGCTTGCTGACATCTTATTTTTGACTAAAACAGTCTATGACATATGAGAGAAATGCAGATATCAGTAATTTAATTGTATGCATAATTAAAAACCATCATCAAAAAGATAGAAATCAGAGATAAAAAATGACACATGCTAACTCACTGATACTAGTATTTTCTCGGTTACAGTGACCGCAACTATTTGTTCCAGCCCAAGAATGTACTCTTATTATTACCCTTCTCTTCATTCGAATTTCACACACACGCCTACCACCTTCACTCTGACTCTCATCCACTATCAAGACAGTAAGTTTCTAATTTCTTAGCTATTTTTGGATTGATAGAATTCAAAAGAACGGATAATTACATATACATTAGTTCAAATTTGGAGAAATTTTTAAAAATTTTGAAGAATTGAAATTTATAAGAATTTTGACGCATATATATTTTAAAATTAGTACTAATATGAAGTTTTACCACTTCTTGCAAGGTTGCTATGAATAAATCTCGGAAATCAATTTTTTCGTCTATATCGATTTCTACTAAGAACAATATATATTCGATTTACGAACTTTGTTTCATGTTAGTAGTGGTCTGTGTCAGACTATTGCTAATAAGCCGCTTATTGAAAGAGGAAACAAGAAGTATTGATCTTTTCCTTAAATTTAACGATGCAATTTGTATCCAATAGCTACTTTGTCTCTTTGATTTTGAAGTATTTTCATGTTCAGCTTACACAAAATAGCTAGCGTTGTGTATTTCAAGAATAACAGAAAGTTGTGCTAGAAATATTAACAACAGGAAAAACAAAAGTTTCTCTTGGATTCAATATCTTCTTAAATTTAATCTATTTATTTGATGTTGTATTGTATTGATTATCTTAGTTACTCGATGTTGTCTATCGTGAAGATACTCTATGGAATGTAATTCAATGTGTTGTACGCAATGCTAAATCAGTTATATTAACAGCTGTATTTGCTGTTATAATTATATACTTATTTGCTATATGTGGTTATTTATTTATCCAAGATGATTTTCTTATGCCTGTCAATACGAAACCACTTGCAATCGGTCATGAAAATGATACGAATGTTTTAAGTAAGTAAAATAGAAGAACTTTTAGTTTTTCTTCTCGCTGCTTTTGTTGCTTTTTATGTCTTTTGAATTTTAATGAAGGAACATATCAAGAAAAAAAAAACCTAAATCAAACTATGAAAGTGTAACTTTTTTTGTTTCCAGTTACTTGATATGATCTTTCGGGATGCAACTTTATTTCATGTAACACAATCAGTAACACGAAATGGAAAATCTATTATGTTAACAATGATGCTTGCACTTATACTTATTTATCTTTTTTCTGTTGTGGGTTTTATTTTTTTTCGTGATGATTTCTTATCAAATATTCAAACAAAATTATATTCATCATATTCTCATCATCGATATCGACGTTCAAATAATCCGAAAACAATGACATTGACACGTATGTCAATTTGTCGTTGTTAGTGTTTCTTGTTTATGTTATTATGTTTATTATTATTAAGCAAAAATATAATTCAATATATTCATTTTTGTTATTTGTTTTTTAGCTACAACCATTCCAAGCATTATTGATAATGGATATTGTACTAAAGATAATTGTACCAATGATACATTAGCCAGTCATATTCGTCAAGCTACTCAAGCATCAACAGTATTGCCAGAAGAAGCAGTAGATGAAGAAGTTGAACGGTCTTGTGACACGTTATTTATGTGTATTGTAACAACACTTAATAAAGGTTTAAGAAATGGTGGTGGTATTGGAGATGTTTTAAGGCAGCCGTCTAGTCAAGTGAGTTTAAAGAAAAAATATTGATTCTTTTCGATTATTAATTTTTTAGTAAAATAATACAAATTCTTGAGTATGAATTCTCCATTATTAAAATTTAATTTTAGATAAGAAGATTTTAATAACGTCTTGCATACATTTACTTACTTAGAACTAAAAAAATTTGATTTTAACCATACAAGGAAGTGTATAGATATTTTATGACTAATTTAAACAATATAACATTACAGATTAATCCTATATTATGATAGTTTGGGATGAAACTGAAGTAGAGCAATAAGAATCTAGAAAATGACTTGATATAGCTACCACTACTCATGTGTACGAAGCAACAAGTAAGGTTACTTCTTCTCAAAACATCCTCTTGGATTAAATATATTCAAACCAAATGAAATTTTCAGGATATGTTGGAATTATATTAGAAAGACTGTGATAAAATTTTCAGCTCTATGCCATGACGTTTTTGGGAGATATTCAAGTAAACAAAAGTCAAAAATAGCTGCTTTGGCCACCCAAAATTCTCTCTGAACCTTCATTCCATACGCTTAGTTTTTGTTTGAATTAGCATGTCACGATGAGGGACATAGCAGAGCTCTTGTTTTAAAATTCTTACTTTTTAAGCCGACGAAATTTCAATGTCTTAAAAAAGAGTGTGAGTGTGGACTGTGATGCTTCGGTGATGATAATCTGTACTACACTTTGTCATATCTCAGAACTAGCAAGTATAAAATTACATCATTAGTCTCTCAGAATAGAGTAAAACGAAATATGGATGATTAATAATACTAAAGATGATATAATTAATATCGTATCTACTTTCAGCTTTTGTTTTGTGTAAGCTTTTACACATATTTCATATGTAATCGTCATCAATAAAAGTTGTTATTGATTCTTACGTTGTTTCGATATTGGAAAACATTGTAAGCGAAAGTTCTTATATAAAAAAAGAAATTTGTTTTTTTTTTTGTTTTTACGAACTTAATTGAAACTAGAATAATCTAATTGAAATGAAAAACTCTTTATGTTTTTTTTCTTCTATTTTGTGTAAAGGAGCCACTATACTTCTTCCGTGTTATTTATGACATGATGTTCTTCTTCATTGTTATAATTATAACTTTAAATCTAATTTTTGGTGTTATTATTGATAATTTTGCTGATTTACGTACGGAAAAACAACGAAATGATGAAATTCTTCGTAATACCTGTTTTATTTGTGGTAAGCATGGATAAATTTTTCAGAATTATTCAAATAAAAAAACAAATTTTTTTTTGTTTCTTTTATAGGACTTGATCGTAAATCATTTGATAATAAACATGTTACATTTGAAGATCATATTCGTAAAGTTCATAATATGTGGAATTATGTCTATTTTATGGTATTAATTAATGTTAAAGATCCAACAGAATATACTGGACCAGAAAGTTATGTTCATGAAATGATTGAAGTACATTATCTGTTTCTCTTTTTTAATTCTTAATTTAATACGAATCGAAATTGTCATCTTTTTTTTTCTTTTAGCAACGAAATCTTGACTGGTTTCCACGAATGCGTACAAGTAGTTTAGACATTCAAGAAGATAAATTTAAAGAAGATCAAGATAGTAGAATATTAAAATTTCAAATGGAAGATGCTAATAAAGCTATAAAAACGTTAACGATGGAATTAGCTGAATTACAAAAAATAGTAAAAATTGAATTTAAAATATTTTTATTTTTATTGATAAATTTACTTTTTTTTAAAGGTTACAGAATCTCGAGCACAAAAGCATCGAATGAATTTTCTTCAAAATCCATCACTACCAACACCATTGAGTACATAAATGCAAATGATATTAATATTTCATCAAACAAACAAAACAAAAAAGTTTCTTTTTCACGTTTATTGTTACATATCTTTGCATCTCGTTTTTTTAAATAATAATACTCAATTTGTGTTTTTTTCCTTTTTCTTTTTTTTTTCTGTGTTTACACAAATTTTCGTTCTTACGAAAGACAATATTTAATTGCGAGAGGCAAAAGAAAAATAAATTCTATTCAATTCTAATCGTTTTTTTTTGTTCTCTCTGTGTGCGAATGTTGTATTTTTAGACAAAAGAAATAAAAAAAAATGTGAAAAGTAAAGTTAGGTGTTCTTCTTTTTTTAAATAAAATTGGACCAAGATTGTCCATCGAAAGGATGAGACAACTAAGAAAACACATTGTCATATATGTTTTCTTTTTCTATTATCCCTCTTCTCATTAAAGGTATAAAATGAACAAATTTGGTAAGTAAATTTAGTAATGATCAATCATGTCGAGTTTTTGTATGAACATGATAAACATGTTTTGATCAATTGAGATTGAAATGAAAATTTGCACGAACTTCGAAGTGACTGTTCATTTATCCGATGAAAGTATTATGCAATAAATAAAAAAAAACGACTCGCACTAATTGACTTGAATTTCTAAAAATTAAAATGCTTGTTTTCTTAGTACAGAAAATTCATACATAAATCTACCAGTGTGACTCAAACTTATAATAGTCTCGTATGAGTGTCGGTCTTGGACGTCGCAGAAAAGTTCTAATAGCATAAACTAGATACGCAATAGTAGCCTTTTCCATTTATGTAGGATGACTTTTCAATCATCACCATTACGATTAGTTAACTAAGTGAAAAGTTTGAAGAACATGAGATGAGATAGTTTTTTTTAATTAATCCGACGAATTTCTGGTAAGAAAATTGATAAGGAAACATATCCAGGTGTCCTTTTGAATTGACATTTCATTCATAAAAAGGTATTGGTGAGCCATGAAAAACATTTAAAAACCTTATGGCCATTGAAGCTTCTTGTCGCATTTTGAATTGTTCGAATATTTTTCATGTACATGAAAGTAATGACAAATGATTTTTTTAGTCATTATTAAAAGATTGTAAATCTTTTTGAGAGTGAACTTAATGATAATTAGATTATACTGGACTCTATAACGTTTTTTCTTCAGAACCATTTCTATTACAATATAAGCTGTTCATCTGCATGATATTCATATGAAGTCGGATGTGCACACTATTCAACAGTACAATAAATGCTTGTATGCTGTGAGAGAACCATGGTAAAATTTCAAGAAATTTTGAGATTTATCATCTACGACCTTGTTATGATTACAACGTTGGAAAGTCTAGTACAATCTGCGTTGTTATCATTAAGTTCACTCTCAAAAAGATTTACAGTCTTCTATCTTTTAATAATGACCAAAAAATCTTTACCATTGCTTTTAAGTGCATGGAAAATACTCGAACAATTCAAAACTCAGCAATGAACGCCCGTGGACAAAATATTAGGTCAAAAGGAGACGAACACTTGGGACTATTTTCTCGTTAGTGGTACCAAAAGAAACCGATCTTTATCATTTGTCTACTTTTAAATATCTCGGCCAGTGCATGCTTCTACCATAGACTGATATTATTAATGGATGATAGATTAGTGATCCTCCATCACCATTGTATTTGCAATATAAACTGATTCCAGTGTAGTTTCGACAACTGAAGACAGCGATTATCATTACGTTTTTTAATGGGAATAGGGTCTTTATTCCAGTATGTAAATTTATTTATTTTTTAGTCTTTTAAAATAATTAATAGCAATTTTAGATATTTCAAAGAACAATCTTTTTTGTAATGAAAAATTAGTATAGATGGACTTGCAAGATGATCTAACTGTTGCAAACATAGCGATTTCTTTGCTGCATTTTCTCAATCATTAGAGTTATTTTGTGTTTTATTAAGCTTTAATTTGTCTAAATACATGAATTGATCGTATTTAAAACTGATTTTCGTGTAAATATTTCTTAATAGTGTGTTTCAAAATAAAAGAAGGATGGGTATTTTTTAAATAATTTTTGATAGGAACAAGATAAAGATCTGTAGTTTTACTTTCAAAAATTTAGTCACTATGAAAAAGAATACGATGAATATGTCTAAATATAAGAAACTTCGAAATTGATTTAAACTGAAATTTTGAGAAACTATATTAAATAATGTTAAAGTTGAATAATAATTTCAGCGTTTGTTTCAATGACAAATTCACTATCTATACTTAAGTCATACTCTTTTGTCTTTTTAATCAACTTCTCTCCTATTTTTTCTTTCTGTCGAGTAATGAACAAATTCTATACATCACATTCTTTAAGATTATTCTAGATACTTTAATTTTTAACAAAGTTTCCACACATCAACCTCTTTAAATATATTCTTCAAACTTATTTCAAATGGAATATTATTTCTTATTATTCATAGGTTTATATTTCCTACATCATACAGAATCAACCATAGGTCCTGGTGATCGTAAATCTTCATCACGAACTCGTACAAACATTAATTCATCTTCATCTTCTTCTAGTAATTTTATACCACATGTACATTCTCTTGCAATATCAAAAGAATATCTTCCACCATCCGAAACACATGTTTTGCAACGTAATTTATTACAAGAAAATATTAATCCTAAATTAATTCTTGAAAATTATCTATCATATTGTTATACTTGTGTTGATACTCGACAATTTACTTATCCAACTTTAATTTTTATAACTCCATGGAATAATCATGGTTATGATCTTGTAAAAAATTTTACAAAAAAATTTGATTATATTTCTCCAGTTTGGTTTAGTATAAAACGAATAAATACTGAAAAATATTCAATAGAAGGTATACATGATATTGATTCAAAATGGATTGAAACATTAAAAGAAAAACATTCTGATATACGTATTGTACCTCGAGTTTTATTTGACAAGTGGCCTGCTAATGATGTTCATGCTTTATTTCAATCTGAAGATGAAAAACAACAATTATCGTTAACATTAAAAAATTTTCTTATTGAATATAATCATTTATTTGATGGTTATGTTCTTGAACTACTTGCATTATTTAGTGATTCATCAAAATCAGTACTTAACCATATTATTAGGGATATTACTGAACATATACATCAGATAGATAATAATACAACAAAGAAAAAAGAAGTTATTTTAACTGTACCACCATTGGAAGAATATTTTAATAAGAATGATTTTGAAACATTATCGGAACATTTAGATGGATTTATTGTTATGACATATGATTTTCCAACGAAAGAACCAGGACCAGTTTCTCCACTGGGTAAATATTTTAAATAAAAATTTAAAAGTTAATTCTTTTTGTCTGGTAGAGTAAGATTATATAAAGAATTGAAAATGAATATAATATGAAATATTATCAAAAGTTCTCGTTGCTTTTAATTGAAAAATTCCACAGTTGAGTTCTCAATTAATCGATTGATACAACTATACACTGGAGTAATCGGTGGAACTAAAGTCGATCATGAACACAATCAATTGATACGAGATGTAGAGTCCTACGGAACAGTTTCGAATCCGAAAAAATTCTGTTTGTTTAGTCCTGCAAAACAATAGGAATTGTCAGAACATTTTTTTTGAGACGGGATAATCATGATTGGGACAATGCTAGAAATTTCGGGACGAGTTCATATAGAAAAATCTCATGCACCGAGTTTTGTAATCCTTGTATCAAAATGTATCGTACACTTCAATTCTTTTTTTTCTAACAGATATCTTAATATTTCAATGAACAACAAACAAAAGAACAGACAGATAGATTAACATGCGAACAAAGCCGAATAGAATTGGCGGTTGACTGCATGAACCCGAAAAAAGTCAGAACAAAATCCTATACGTCATTGATTATTTCTAAAATCTTAGATTTCCGTAGAAGAAATCATCATAGAGTTCATTTGTGTTCAGTTATCATGACGCAACTGACAAGTTAAGAAATAATAAATCTCAATCAACTATTGCCATATAAGGAAACTATTGCATATAACATCTTAAATATCAATGGTCTCTTTCCGATTGAATCATGTACGACCATGCATTTGTCATAGTCTCACAATGTTAGCAAACTTTTTCTCATTTCGAAATGATGATCAGATGTGTAGAATGAGTGACTCACTTCAGTTGTGACTAATGCATCGAGAAGAAGAAAAAGAATTAGTTATAGCAACTAAGTGAGTGGACAGCAACAAGTCTGTTATCTTGATTTCTGCATTCAGTCACCTTTTAGTCGGCTGGCCAAACAGGATTTGAAACACAAAAATGTTTGTCCCACAGAAATCAGACGAGAATAACCATTGATGTTTCGAAACGAGATTAAAATTTTGAAATTTTCAAGAATCAAGTTATCACAAGTTTGTGTTGGTTTATCAGAACATTTGTTGCTTCGAACATATGAAAAACATCAATCGTTCTCATATAATAATTCAATGAGCCGTTAATTTCTCTCTCGATCAACTGTTCTTCTTGTCAAGAAGAGTTGAGATTTCATAGAGAGAGCCAATTATTTCAAAAGATAACTTTCTTATATTCTAAGTTTAAAAAATATTATTTGAAATAAAATAATTTTGATTATTTAATAGAATGGATGCAAGAAGTCATGAATAGATTTCTTTCCTCGAAAATTCGCAGTTCGGTCAAAGTATTTCTTAGTTTAAATTTTTATGGGTATCGTTATGATCGAATTATTCCGTCGGCACCAAAAGATCAACAACAATATCAGAGAAGACATGTTCTTGGTCATGATTATATTGAATTTCTTAAAAAATATTATAGAGCATCAGTGATTATTTTCGATACTCGTGCACATGAACATGTTACTCTTGTATATGGTCAATCGATGGATGATGCAAATCAACAAGCAGAATCTGTACCATTAATACTTATATTTTATCCAAGTTTAAAATCAATTTATGATCGATTAGAATTGGCAACAAAATTGCATGTTGGAGCAGCTATTTGGGATGGTGGCCAAGGACTTGATTATTTCTTTGATTTATTTTAATGAAATTTGAGTTGTTTTTTTTTTTACTACAGATTTTAGTATTTTAATTTAAAAATAGATGAGTTTAATGAAATAGCCTACGCGTAGGTTTGTTCGATGATTCATATATTGCTTTTTCGACAAAAAATTCCCCACTTCCGAATTTCATCATGTTTTTTCTTTTAGAGATAATTTATCATAGTAGAGTGGGATTAAATTTGTCAACGTCAATCGTCTGACCTACACAGACAAATAAGAAGAAAAAACGTTGTTTTCTGCGAAACATCTACTTTAAGGTTAAATTCCTTTAATTTTTAAAACATATCTATGTTCATATTCTATTCTAGATCATATTGTTCTATATTTTTTCTTGCACTCATATAATAAAACTAGGTATATAAAATCATATTGATAAATGTTCCAATAACTGAGTGCCATTTGACTCATATAAAAACATTTTCTATACATAGACATCACCTATCGTTAATTGAAACAACATCAATACTATAAAATATAACATTTAGCGTCATATAATTTTAAAATAAAATATTCTGACTCAATATTTACATATTCTTTGACCTTTAACTTTATGGAGCAAAATGAAAAATATTCTTTATAAACAACTCTATAGCGTGTATTAGGAGAGGTAGCATAACCTGTTATCAACTAAAAAATAGTTGAAATCAAATTTTTTAAAATTTCTTGTCAATTTTACCAAAAACAGATGAGCAAAATCGGGAATATCGTTTGCTTTGTGATTATTATTAAGGCAACTCTCGTCTCTAAATTTATACATTATCTTTTGACAGTTAACTACTGTCTATAATCTTAAATTTTATGGAAATACTTCAAACTAAAGTAGAAAATGTTATAAACCAGGCCTTTTCGAATAGATGATTTTTTTTTGGTTCAAAAACTGATTAAACTAAATAGCTGTTTTTCCTTTTGTCGTTATTGATGAATCCCTAGACTTTTGCCTCGTTCAATGAACCGTTCAATATTCTTTGGACAACAATTTATTGATAAAGTTTTTTCACGACACAATGGCACAAAAAATAACATTTCATGTAATTACAAATAAGTTACGTTATTCTTCATAGACATGAAATTCTTTAAATATTTGAATTCGCTCATATTATATTCTAAATATCTATCATTTAACTTCATTATATATAGATCTGACAGTCAATATATAGAATCTTTTTCTTTTTGATATCTTATACACATATACAAAAAGAAAAACATTAAAAGAATGACAGATCACCGGCGATGACGACCGAAACGTGTTGCTGGAATGTAATGTTTTAAATTAGGCCGCCAACCTTGATCAAAAGCTTTTTGAAGAATATCCATTATTGCTTCTCGAGTATGCGGTGATACTGTATTTGAATCTTGAGAATCAGAGGATATTTGTCGTTGATGAAATTTTTTTTCTTCATAGGAATCAAAAGATAAATCATTATTATCATCAATATCATCATCATTATCATTTAATATATTTGATAGTTGTGATTTAAAATCTTTAAATTTTTAAATAAAAAAAAAGCAGAAAAAAAGTAATTATTGAAAATTAAAAATTGTATGTTTTTATTTTACCTTCTTCTTCACTAGAGGTTAATTTTGTATTGGTGTCTTCATTTAACTCATCATAATATAGTGCGCGACCAGATATTAGTGTCATTAGAAGGGAAAGTATCAAAAGTATTTGAAACGGGAAATAATGGTTCATGTTTTCGGTTGTGACAATGAAATCTATAAAAAAAGTTTTAAGAATTTATATGATGATACAAAAGACAGTTATTTCTAAGAAATATTAGCATACGTTTCAACAGGAAATAAATATTGAATCATACAAAAAAAAAGAAATAATAGCAAATGATAACGTTACCTAAGAGTCGATATATAACAGAAAAGAAGAAAATTTAATACAGAACGTAAGAATAAAAAGGAATCATAATCAGCAAAAAGAACAAAAAAAAAACTTATAATACTAGATGAAAAAAAAAAACTTTAGTTTACTACTCAAATCAGTTCAAAAAATTCGTTGTATCCATGTCAGAGCACAGGTCACAATTAGAAGTCTGGTCGATAATCTGCACGTTAAATCAATTAATCCAGGCGATCAGAGAGAACATCTATTTATTAGTTTTTCTTAGACATTTATGAAAATATATACAATTAACAATCAATCATGTTACAAATTGAAGAAAAAAAAGAGTTTCTCCTGATCTTCTCATAATATAGATATAAAAATTATATACAAGCCTATTTAATTTATATCTTTATTTTGTCTTAATACTCCATTGAGATGACTAAAGAAAAAAAATCTATTTACTTGCAATTGTTCCTTCTATTCAATACGTGTACTGCTGCATTTTATGAGATTAGAATTTAGTAATATATAATCGAAACGAGAAGCCGCCTACTATAGGATTTTTATAACGTCAAGACTTCGTCATTTCATGACGGTCTGATAAAATACGAAGAAAAAAGAACGAATGGGTTATAAAGAAAAAGTCGCCGAAAAAAATGAAAGTTAATGCGATTATCGCTAAAATAAAGACTTTGTTAAAGTAAAACTTGAGACATCATCCATTTATCACGAAAAGTATCCAATTAACTTTTTTTTGATAATAAAAACACTAGTTTTTTTAATGACATAGAACTTATAACGTGATGTTGTTATTAGTTTTATCAGAAACATCAATTACACTAGACTTATGTCATGACTTTTTGTTCACTGAATATTTAATTACAATAAACAATAGCCTTATTATTTTAGGAAACTCATGAATAACATGCTTTTTTTTTGGCTGCCATAACAGATGTTATCGACTTATTTATCTATAAAAAGCAAAGTTTATGCTTCTTGGTAATCGTGTTTTTTTTTGTCTATTTAAATTATCTGTTAAATGTAGGTGTCAAAAAGAGAACAAAGTCAACAAATAGTAAGTTTGAAATACTGAAAACAAAAGAAAATGACAAAAAGTTTTAAATGTATATGCATAATGACTTTGTTGTTATACTCTGTGCAGTTATTCCTTCTTTTAAATCTACACTCGACATACAAGAGATTTCTTTAGAAACATTGACTATTAAAGTATATATAAGAAATATTAAACTTTTGAAAAACTTATCTTATCTTCAATGAACAATACGAGAAAATATTAAATCAGAAGATCAATTTGACCTTGTCAAATACTTGTATGAGGTTTAAGAGAAAAAAGAAAATCTACAGAAAATGTTGATGTAAATAGGTACTTGTATTTTTCTTATGTAATTAAACTAATTGTCCTCAACAACAATATAAGCAATATATAGAGGAAAAAAATTAATGAAGCTCAATAAATAAAAAGAGAACTTAAAAGTAACTAGTGGATAAGGGAACTAGTAATGTATAAATAAATTATAAAAAAAGAGACTTACTTATTTTTTTATGAATTCTATTAACGTTGACTATACAAGTCTTGAGTATATATATAAATATATTGTATATTATTTTCTACATTAATCATACTGCCCCCGGATGAATATTTTTAAGATATGACTACTAATGAGTTAGTAATCAAGAATAGAACATGGTCTATATAAGTTCTTAACCTTTATACTCTTTTTTTCTAACACTATTTAATAACAATTTGTTTATGATTAGCGATTTTTTTTTCATGTTACAAGTTGAGTGTAAAGAGAAGATTTATGATTTAATATATTGAATCTGAAGGTGTAACATGTGCTTGAAGGTTTAATTATAGGTAAACGATTACAATAAATAAGATTTATGATTTAGAGATATTTTTCTTAAATAATACATAAAAAAAAGATAAAAAACAAAAGATATTTATTGCGTCGAATTCATTTACGAGAGAAAGAAAAAAACGTTGGATTGCCAATAATTTCAGTCATGCAACAATTTCATAATCATGATGATAGGCAAAGTAAATATAAATAAAAATACTTTTATTTTATTAGATATAATTTGATAAGACATTATTTTAGTATGAATAAAAATAACCATTAATTTACATTTCGTATTTAAACAATAAAAAGACAAAGCTTTTATTCATGCAAATTGTTCATCAATATATTCCAAGCTCTAGAGCTCGGGTTGTTTTCATTTAAAAGAGAACTCCTTATGACTTTGAATAATGAAAAGATATCTTTTTAATTTTTATTCTTTGTCATTTTACGAATCATCGGAACTGCAAAGGTCTGCAAATCTTATGCATTATTTTCTGGAAAATTCAGGATTTATCTAGTATTGTTGATTAGTTAGAAAATACTTTTCGTTTATTTGAACAACTATGTATATGTCTATCGATAAAAAGAGAACACAGCTGGCTAGAATGAACTGTATTAGGAAAAAAATTGTCTCACAGTTCGATCATTACTAAAAAAAAACAATTTTAAGAAGTTTTTCTTTTATATAGTCCTCCTATTATTACTTAAAATCAAGGTTAAACATATTTTTATAACATGTCAATCGAAGCACTTACCTATGTACATTAGATTGCCATCAAACGTGATACATCACGAAAGATTATGCTAGCTACCATTACCTTTACGTATATTTTACCATTCAACAACATAATAAAAGCAGAAGAAAAAGTATTTATTTTTTAAATTCCTTTGGTATCTTAGTGTTGTCCTAAAGACTAATAATGAAGGTTAGTTTCTGCTAGCAAGTCATAAATCGTATGTCGCTTTGTTTTATAGAAAGCATCTGTCTGGCAGTGATGGGTAAAAGTGTGGGTGTAGATGTGTATGAAATGTTCCTGTAGGTGTAAATGTGTGTGCAATGTTCATGTGCGTCTAGATAAATGTGAAATGTGCATAAAGAGAAAAACTACACCTACGTATTTAAGTCACTTTAGATCGCAAAAGTGTGTCTCTAAGAAGAGTAAGATTTTACTTATCTCTGAAAAACATTTGTTTATTTTTCAGATATAACTCTATAAAAGAAAATTTTGCTGATTGCTCTAAACATTATTATCTGTCCAGAGAGTTTCAAAGATCATTCATAAAACCTTTGAGAATCAAAAATATTTTGTATGAATTCATATAGTAGACATCTCAGGCAAAATATTCATATGTTTATCTTAAAAATTATTATTTTTTTGAGGAAAATCGAGTTTTCAAAAACGAGAGCCTCTGTAGCAATGAATGAGAAATTATTATTGGGTCATAAAAAAAAGATTTGGCAGATGAAATCGCTTATCAGTATGTTGAGAATACGCATCTCTAATCGATTACACTTTCCGGATATTTAACGACTATTATTTCATTTTAAGGATCCTATGTGACTAATAATATAGAAGTAAAAAATAACGAACATTCTACTTTTCATGAAAACTAAGTGTTTAAGTAATATTATGGACAATATGTATTTGTTTTTCCTAAATGATTCATTTTGATTCATGTAACATATCAAATCCATTAATTGTTTATGCTAATCAAAACAATGAGCAATCCTGTTGGGAAATTCTCGTACTTTTATCTGAGTGATATTCAATTCACACGTTTATAGATGAAATTATTGAATGGCACTTTATAAACTTAAGTATCTAGAGATATCAAAGTCATAATATATAAATCTTTTTGCTATATCAATGATAAATGGCATATAATCCGAATAATTTCTTTATTCTAGTTCAGAATACAATTAGTATTTTACATCTCAATGTATAATGTATGATAGTTATCTGTCATCTTAATGAATATTACACAACTTTAGCTATCCCATATAGATAAAAGACGATTGAATCTTGAAAAAAAAGGAAGTGGATTTTCTTTTATCTTTTACCATTGAAAAAGACATTCACGAAGGTTGATATCTACATTCTTGGCATTGTTCAACTAATTGATAATAAACTCAACGCATTATTTAAAGGGAATTACAAAGATATTTATAAATTAAAAAAGAATCTTAAAAATCAGATCGGAACTGATATAATGCCAAGTACATCAGATAATATTTGGATACCAAAAAAATTTAAAACGAAATTATGTGTGAAATTAGATAGAATTTCACATGTTATCGATCTCTTTCTTGGATAAATGAAACATTAAAAAGTAATTCTGTGAATCTATCAAATAAAGTTTGAATGCTACTAGAAAATTCATCGTATCAAAGCCTATAATTGGAAAAGGAAAGAGCTAGAAAAAGATCGTCATCAATAAATTGAGATAAAAAAAGGAGTAGAAAAAGTTATGGAATTCATTCAAATAAAAAATTAGAAATGCACTTTAAGATAGACCGAAATTCTACGTTTTTATGCATAAATTATCATAACAACATCGGTACTCAATGTACACTTATTATTAATACAATGCAGAACATACAAATTCATTTATTGAAATTTCACACATTCAAGCGCACGAGAAGTGATTAGAAACATCAAAAACCCAAACTATAGGTTGGAAATATGCAATACTCATTATCAGATATAATGTTTAAATTGATATACTTGGCTATATCAGCAAGCTTTCATTACTCCAACATTTACCTACACGAGTGCTATCTACGAAATATAGATTATAATGAATATCTAATAACTACTCGAAATATTAAAGCGAAAAATGAATTTCTCTCATGGAGGATACACATTCTACAATATAGAAAGGTTTTGAAAGTCATTATATGTTTGCTCAACAACAAATTTATTTATCTACATCGAAACTAATACGTCGTTGATATTTGTTTTACAACTTGAAATAGTATACTGCCCTGTACTTAAAATTTGCAAAATATAATCATTCAAAGAATCTATTGTATGGATTCGTAGATTCTCAAAATTTTCCTGAATTCGTGCGTTTTTTAATATTTTTAACGCTGGCCGGAAAGGTTTTGTCGTAGTCATTGTAGATAAAATACATGATGTGTTTATCCCCTATCATTGAATAGAATAATCTTTGTTGAAAAAAAAATCAACTGAACGGATTAATATTAATCAGTATGAACATTGATCAAAGTTTCAACAGAAAGAACAAAAGACTTTTAGATTTACATTATCACATCATATTGCTCAATCATTAGGTTTAATATAATAATCCTACAAATCTTTTTATAGAAAGAAAACAATTTCATATTACCCATGAAAAGATTTCCTTTTTTTTATATGACAAGAAAAACGTGAATCAATGACTAATATAATTTTTTATTATATAGAATTATATGTGAAAACAAGAATTGCATATTATTTTTCAGAAAATGAATAAATATTTAGCAGTGAACAAAAGTTCACTCTATCTCTCATCAAATCTTAGCTATCTTACCTACTAGAGCCTTGAAAATTTGAGTGCACATATGTTGTCAGAAATATAGGTCAGAGACATTTGCTCGCCTCATTTGCTTAAAGAAAAAGAACAGAATTATAATGAATGGCATCTATTTTGTTGTGGCTTTGAAGTTTTAATCTTCAGAGACTATCAACCAAATGTTACACAGGATTTTATCAAATACATGATTAATTCTTTATATATTCACGTTAGACTTGGGCAAAATCTAGAGTCTTTCTTTATGCGAAAGATGAGTTCATTTGATAAAATATGGATGTTTCTATATCATCGACATCGATAATATCATCATCGACGTGTCATTTCTGTTTAGTCGAAGTTTCGTTTCTGAAAGTTATAAATTTATAATATTCAACTACAAGCAAAACTTTTCTGGAAGTTTACGCTTCTGACATTGAACTATGATTGAGTGATGCCCTGCAAACAGCAATAAATAGTTTTTCTTCACAATAATGGCTTCAGAAAACTAGCCATGAATCCGAAAAATATTGATAAAATGTAATCAAATCCGTAATATAAATCGCTGAAGCATAGCACTACATATTAACGAACCAGAGGATTCACAAAAACTTTTTCTTTGCAGAGCTATGAAGTTTAAAAAAAAACTAGATGTCATCGGTTACCATTTCTCATAGTTATAATTCGTACTTGAATAATTAAGACAAGAAGTCATGTCTTTAACGTATATTTTTAGCAAAGTATGTGCACATTAATTGACAGATCTTTAGCACGTATCTCAGCTAAGTTTCGGTAAGAGAAGACTTTTGTCCGCTGATGTCGGCATAAAATTATTTACCATGTAAATTAATGAGGATGAATAATTATCTTCAATTATTGAAATAATTTATTAACAAAATCTCAAGATATAATGATATATGTCTATTATATGATTAGCTAAATATTGTATTATAGTAAAGGTAGCTGTTTTACATAATCATTGTTTCTATCTTTGTAGAAAAGTTTATAATTTTAATTATAATCTGTTCAACGGATATATAGAGTATTTGATAATATTTATTAGATGGTTATATTATGACTATGAAAAATACATAAGAAGAAGAAACTAGGAAATCTTCTTTATATGTTCATATAGACAAGATATTTGATTCAATAGTATCATCATTTAAAGTAATTTTAGTTGTTGAAAACTGATGTTATTAAAAATGAAGGATTCAACGCTAAAAAATTAAATTCTGGTTTGATTAAAGTGAATGTTTCGCTCTCAATTATATACAAAATCATTTAATATTTCTAATAGATCATTACTAATCATTCCTTCTCTTTTAATTTTTTGCATATGAACAATATCATTGTTTTCAAAGATATATATTCAACTTGAAGTTATGCTTCTTTGCCTATCAATGGGTCTAACACGTTCTCGTACTTTCATAACTGTTAAATTATAATTTATCCCCGATTTCTATCTGTTCAGTAAGAATTTTGTTTTTCTAAACAATTTTTATGTTCAATATTTCTGCATTGTTTATCACATGGAACATTTCATATTATCAAAAAAATTGTATATCTCCTGGTAAATAACTTTCTATTTTATATTCATCGTTAGCAGTTGCAAAATGACATCATTGATTTGAACATATTTCATGAACCAATAATATTGTTTTCATCATAACTAAAATCTTGGAAGTTATCAATAGCAACATACACGATTCCAGGACTTTTAGAAATGCACTCGACACGAAGAATAACATCATCAAAAAAACATTTGTCATCTATTCTAATTAAAGAAACTTTCTTATCAAAGGTAAATGAGATATTGCCGATGTTCGTTATGCAGAAATCAAGATTTATTCGTGCTCAGTAGGCATCAAACCAATCTGACAAGTTTCAGCTTAGTACATTTCCAATGCTAAAGTATCAGGAATATTTCGTATGGCTTACATAAAATTTTTGAACAATGTTATTTGACATATTTAGTGAAATAACGATCGAATGGATTTAATATCTAAACAATTTATCATGACTTACATATTGAAACCGTTTTTCATATTAAATAGCTCTGACTCATGTCTTTAATAAATAAAGCACAAAAATTTGTTACGACTATTTCTGAAATTTTTTTTTTTAAATTCTGATAATACAAAAATAAGAAATCCAAACTTCTCAAATGTAATTTGAATTCTTTCAATATCAAACAAATAATATTTATCAATATTGTAGATAAAAATTTTGCATCTATTAAATTGAAATTTTAGTGCAGTGTCTTCTCTCATAAACATGGTAAAACGATGTGTTCAAATCTACTCAGCAGAACATATTTAATTCAGACAACGATGAAGAAAAAATTTGTTAGTCTCGTTCGTATGAATTTGCTTTGATTTAAAACCAAATCGAAAATCTACTGAGTTGTCTGACAAGGATTTTGTTTTTTGGCAAAAAAAATCAATTTTTTTTGTGCTTCTCATTTGAAGAAATTCAAAAAGTTATTCGATCCACAGAAATCATTCAGTAGATATAACGTTTAAATCATCGAAGCATGAATATTTATGCAAGATAAAAGAAAATTAACAAAAAAGAAGTCTAAAACAATCGATCTCTTCCTGTTTTTTTTATTTTTGAATTTCTTCTTCTAAGTTGTATTACCGAAAGGTTTACAACAAAACAATATTATTTTTATTTAGCAGTTGTAGCTGGTGCAGTAGTTGTTGTTGTGCCAGCTGCTTGTCGTTGAGCTTTACGGGATTTTGCTAATGTACCTTCACGAAAACCATTTCGAAATCGACGAAAGACTTTCTTCAAATGTTTCATTCGACCGGTGCCAGTTGCTTTACGACGACGAGATTTTTCACTCCATTGGTATTTACGGGTTTTAGCAGATGGAAAACCACAAGCTGCACAACGTTGTCGTTGTAAATGATATGATGAACGGCCACATCGACGACATAATGTGTGAGTCTTGCAATTGCGTTTACCGAATGATTGAGTACCCTTCGTCATTGTTTCGACGAAGAAATTCTAATTTCTAAAATTGAAAAACAAAATAAAAAAAGAGATAGATGAAGTAAAAAAGAAAGACACTAGCAATTGATATTGTTATAAAAACAACGATTCAAAGATTCATTTCATCCATGTTTACTCACAATGCATGGAATCTGTAATGATTGGATGCAACAATGACTCGATTAACTAGAATTTTTATTGAGATGAATTCATGTTAAAAGTTAAAAAACTATGCTTTTTTATTAGATTAACAGCCGTTATTATTAGTAATTAATAAAAGAATATATTTAATTTCGTCAAGAGATTCGACCGATAGTGACATCTTTTAAAACTGTATCACGATTACGAATTTTTGAAGTAATATTTCGATAGTATTCGTACATGGAAAGAATTGAATCTATTAAAAATGAACGATTTGTTGTATCAATAAGATGTTTGACGGGCTATAATATACATATCTGGATACCAGAAGAAAATTAGTAAAAACATGCAAACAAGCAAAGTTAAACATGATAATTCTTGCTTCAGAATTAGGTTACTTTCACCGATTCTAGTATCACCGAATGAATTCATAATCGAAAACGAATCTGAATTAAATATGATCGGCTCTGTGTCTAACATTTTATTATGATTAATTAGTTTATTATCAAGTCAATCGGTAAGTAACTATCTCAACTGGTAACCAGCTAAGGGTGTGGATCTGGTTCCACATTCACACTCAAACTCTTGGTCAGACAACAAATTTAATCGACTTAGTAACCAACTGAGATGGTAACTAATCTATATTGGTAATAAACTAATTAATTATAACAAGATGTTATACATAGAGCCGATCATATTTAATTCAGATTCGTTTTCGATTATAAATTCATTCGGCGAAAATGGAAATTACCTCAATTTGAAATGTGGGCGATGCGAAGATTAACACTCTGTACGTAATATTTTCTTTTCCTCTGACGTTCGTCAGATGTTTACTTTTAATTTTTTATTTATTTGTTTTTTATTTTATTTCTTTTTATGATTGATGATATTACAAGTAAACAACAAAACTTGTGGATAAAAGTGATTAAAATTGTTTCATGTATTCTCTTATATTTAATTATAAGGTTGATCAATATCTCTATGATCTATTCGCCAACTTATTGTTGTATCATCTGTATAACCATTAGTTCCTCCACCTTTTCGATTTATTTTTGTTGTAAATAATAATTGTTGAACACGACTTTCAATAGTAGCTAAATAAACAATAATATTTCGATCATTAATTAATTCATCAAATGATAAAATAATATTTCGATCACAATTAAGTTCAAGAAATAAATTATAAATTAATTGATAAGCAGTATCTAATACTTCGCGAAGATTTCTTTTAGCTGTTCTAAGTGATTGAACATTCATATTAGCTTTATTTACAGAATACTGAAAATTAAAAAAAATTTCTTTAGTTATAAAACACAAAAAACAAAGCATTTATTTTTAACTAACTTCCAGTGTTGCAAATATATCTTTGATAACAAATGAATCGATATTATCATTCGAGAAAATATTTGAAATATATTTTCGTTTGTTATCAAGATCTTCGTGAAGACGATCAAGCTATTTAGAAATATAAATATTTGCTGTTGTTTTGTTTTTGTATTACAATTATAATTACCTCATTGATTAATTCAACAGCATATTCAAAAAGTGTAAATACTTGTTCTTGTTCATCAAGAAATGTTTCAACAGCTCGATTAAGTGCTTTTTCTTTAAAAAAATCTTGATCAAAACCGATACGAAATAAATGACGAAATTCATCGGCTGTATATGCACTTTTTACTCCTTTCGAACCTATTCAATGATCACAATTGTCGGAGAAAAACAAAAATTAAATTATTATTACGTTTTCCAGCAAAAAGTTCATTTAATCGAATTTGTTCTTGTCGTATATTGGATTTTTTTAAAATAAAATTTTTTGATGCATGATTACTTTCTGATAATCGATCAAGTTCACGAATATCATCTAATAGTTTCTTTTCATCACGTTCATGTTGCTTACGAATAGCTCGCATACGTGCAACCAAATTTCGTCTAAATATTTATGCATATAAACAAATAATAATTAACTATTGATATTTTTTTAATAAAAAAAAAACGAAAAAGAAAATTGACGACTGTATAAATCAAAAGTAGATAATAAATCTTTCATAATTATTATCAATAAGATAAAATCGATAGATTTATTTGTGATCATCGACTGTCTAATATCTGTAAATTTCTTAGTTATGGACAATATTGAGAAATTACAAGCGAGCACAGGACAAAAAAACATTCCTATTCCCATGTTTCTGCTTCTACAAAATAAATTTCAAATGAACAGTTATCCTTTAGGTGTCTTTATTCTACTTTGCTCTCAACTAATATGAATATCTTCTTACTTAATAATAAAGCTAAAAGCACTACAAAGAAAATCTTGTCTAACTGTTCTGAACTAAGACAAGTTCGGGTTTCTTTTTGTATCATTAATTCCCTGCTAAAGAATTGTTTTTTACTATTTGTAAAATTTGCTGATACCAAATATAATTAATATAGCACTATGTCAAATGCGAATCGAAAATGTTCAGGTTGAATTTTTTAAAGATTTTTATTAACCCAGTTGTTCTTGATTTATATCTGTTAACGTTCATACCTAAATATAAAGCGTCTTAGTACATTGTTCTTTTTTTACAATAAACTTGTAATCATTATTGCCATTCTTCGATTATCATTTATCTTCGTTTTAATATCGCAAATGTCTTACTCGATTTAACTGAATAGGTCAGCCTTAAACTTTTAATTAACAGTTCATTTGTTTAGTACTATATAGTTTCAGTTAGCGTGCAATGAAATGGATAAGACGACAGAATGAATAAGTGCATCCTGTATCTTGCTTATTTTATTCAGTGGCTGACCAGAGCAAAAATTTTACTATTACTCTGTCCTGTTCTCTGCTCTACAAGGAACATTGGTCACTGAAATTCATTTCAGCTTAGTATGTTTTGTGAAATTTTATTCAAAATATAGATGCACAGAATCGATTTAGTCGCACCCATATATAGAACTTTAGTAAACAATTATAAAGAGTACTCTTCGAGTCAGTATTCAATATGGTCAAAAGATTATAAGTGTATTCAAAAAGAAATTCTCTAATATATAGTTCTCTTATTCCAACCATATAAGATATTTAAGATTTTAACTAAAAGAATTTGCTAAGAATCTAATAGAACCATGTTTCTACATTCGTCTTTTTCAAGAGGATAAATTTTTTTGAAACACGATCTAAAATGAGGGTTGAAGTATGGGGGTAGAACTTTCGAGGCCTCTTCTCCAACATCACCAATCACATATCCGTCGCATCTCGTTATAATATAAGAACTACGTCCTTATTACATATCTGGAGGTTTAAATGAAAGGATGGCACAGAAATGTGTTTCAAAATAAATAGAATAGAACAATATCTATATGATTAGGAATAGCAACTAAATTGTATTTCAAATTTTTATCCCACACGGATTGCACTAGCAGCTTTTTTCTTAGAATTATACTATTCATTTTAAAAAAGCAAAAAATGAAAGCCACCACTTCATGATTAGCGCATCTAAAGTTATTTTCAGTTACGATAAAATCTGTCTAAATTATAAAACGGAAAATGAGAAGAATTTATGATTTGTTTGTTTTTTGGAATTTCAAACAAATTTTCGTACCGATTTGCAAAACTTTCTGAACATTCAGATGTCAATCGACGAGATTCATCAGTTGCATTTTGCATCGCAATACGAAGTAGATTATATTCTTCAATCATTTCACGACGTTTATCTAACATACGTTTAATATCAGTGCGTAATTCAGCATTATTTGCACAAATTTTGCTTAATTCAAGGTTCATCTAAAGATTAATATTATTTATAGATGATTGAAAATAGACTACAAACACGATGTAATTGATTTTCTGCTTGTATTAATTTTGCTTTATTATTATTTTGTCCAATATCATATTGATTATTATGTGTTTTTCTATTTTGTTCTGAATCTTTTTCAAATTGTTTTATCTGAGATAATTAACAAAATTTCTTTTTTGTTAAACTTGTTTTCATATCCCAATATCACCTTATTACAAAGAGAACGAATATTTTTTTCAAGATTTATATTATCTTCTTCAATCTGTTTGACATTATTCCATAACTTTTGATATTCTTTTGTTGGTTTTTCATGAGTAATTAAATTTTTACGTATAAGTAATTCTTTTTTTGAACGTTTTTCTATATTGAGTAGTTTTCTTAAATTCATCGAAATTATTTTTTTTTTTGGAATAAAAAAAAAATCTCTTTTACTCTTGTATGAGAATTGAATTACGTGTACGATGTAAAAATCGTTTTATACGCATTTCCAAACGTCGATGAAGACTTTTAAGTTTGGTTTCTTCAACCGTAAGAGCAGCTACTTGATTTGAAAATTCTATTAATTTCATCCGATCACTATTCTTAAAAAAAATAACAGTTATCTTCATACTTTTTAAAAGTGTATGTATCGTACTTCTGATCTATGACAGGTATTACATTCATTAACATTAACATTTGTATTAATCGGAATAAATTCTTATTAATAGAAAGCAAAAAAATCGTGCAAAAAATTTATACTTGAATATAGTAGCGTAGCCAAGGGTGGGGGCAAAGTCGAGTTCCACTCTATCACCAGAAGAAAGACAAACGTAATAATTACCATCCTTGATACTACACTGTATGGATTACTTCTCAAGATCGTACGGCATTGCCCTACCACCCACGATGTCCTGATTACGCCAGTATTTGTATTTTAATCTACCTTCAACATTGTTCGAATCTTGATGTATTTTCAAAGGCATTAGAAAAAGAATTTTTTTAATAACGAAACATTAAAATATTTTTTTTTTAAATATATTTCCCGCGTAAGATTATATAAGAACACAAAAAATAGAATATTCTTTATTTTTACAAACGAATATTAAAGTACAGAAGAAGAGAAAAAAAAGAAATATTTTTATATTGGCCGATGATTACGTTCTAATTAGATTAAATTGAATAAATAAAAGATATTTTTTTAGTCGAAAAACTTACTTGCAGAAGATCGAGTGCGTTTATGTTTTGATGTTTGTTCTTCATCATCTACTAAAAAATAATTAAAGATTGTTTTTTTTTCAGATTAAATTTTGAAATAAATACTTTTTGTTTTCTTGATTTTTCGTCTTCGTTGTTTTTCTTCATTATCAATTGTTGATGGTTTAGATTTTTTACTTTTAGTAGCATTTGTTATTATTTCATGTTCAATATCTGTAATTTCTTGTTCTTTAGTTTTTTTAGTTTTTCTTGTATGATTTTCATTATCATGTAATCTTTCTTCTTCATGATCATATCTTTTTGATTTGCTTCGTTTTTGAGTTTTTCGTCTATTATTAATTGTTAAATTATCATTATTGTCATTATCATCGGATGTTTCATGTGAATGATAATCTACTTTGAGTTTTTTATAATTTTTAGTTTTTCTTGTATTTTTTTCATTATCATGTAATAGTTCTTCTTCATGATCATATCCTTTTGATTTAGTTCGTCTTTGAGTTTTTCGTTTATTATTACTTAATAAATTATCATTATTATTACCATCATCAGATGTTTCATGTGAATGATAATCTATTTTGGATTTTTTATGTTTTTTTGTTTTTCTTTTGTTGGTAATAGTTTGAGTAAACTTTGATTGTGTAGTTGTATTTTCGTCATCGGATGTTTCTGCTGGACGATCAATTGATTTTGATTGTTTACGTTTTCGAGTCTTTCGTTTTTTTTCAATTTGTTTTTCTAATGATGCTTTTGCTGCCGCTGCTTCTGCTGCTTCTCGTTCAGCAATAATTTTTGCAGCACTTCGAGTCTTTCTTGAACTAATAATCATCGGCTTGGATTTAGTTTTAGTAGTTATACCTCTTCGAGGTTTTGCTGGTACTATTTCTTGAACAGAAGTTGACTCTCTAGAATTGACAAATAAGTTTCATAATGTCGAAATTAAAAATGTGATGACTTACTGTTGAATTGGAGGATCTGTTTTAGGAACAGAATTATCATTTGTCGTATCTGAATGAAAGCAAGTAGTAACTTATACGAAATCAGTTAGGATTTATATCCCTACGTTCAATGAGCTGATGATGAGGACATAAAAACTTTTTTCTGATGAATTGAATCGATCTCTCTAACTTATTCAATACTTACAAAGAGAAATTTCATACATATATATATGCACCTAATTTTGATGTATTTATTACTAAGATATGGATAGCAAAAAATTAAAGATCTTTACTTTTGCTTTCGTATGATTATTAAGGAAGTACTCTAGAATTTTTCATGCTATCATGATCAGCTCTTTAAAGTTAATAAACTAGTATAGATTCAAATGGAAATAGAGAATCATATTAGGTTAACTTACGTGATATATGTTCTGATGATATTACAGATGAATTAGTGTCAGTAACAACTAATACATCATCATCTGGAATAGTTGGTCGTTTATATTTATTCTGATCATCACTAATTTGTTCTGTTTTAATGATATCAAGCAAAAAAGTTTGACCAAAACGATGAGTATTTTCTATGGCTTTTCTAATATCTATATAAAAAGAAATATAATATGACAATTCAACAATAAACTTCATTTATTCTACTCGTTCGATTTTGGTCGAGTGATGAAAAAATTTCATTTATTGTTTTTTTATTACTCTCATGACTAAGTGATGATGATTGTTCATTAATATCATCTTCAAGTGAAACAGTTCTATCATAAAGAATTGTTGGTGTAAAACAAAGTCGTGCTGGTATATTTGGTTGAGAATCTATGAATAATGTTTCAGGTTGTGTTACAGCTAAATATGAACGACAATGTTGATTAGGAGCTCGATAAGTTCCATTTGATTCATCATAATAGTCATCGTGCTGTATTACACCGCCAACCATAGTTTCTTCAGGTTTAACAACAAATGTTGTATCCACAAATTCTAAATGTTGACGAACTGTACTAAGTGGCAATATATGAATACTAAATCGTCCATCTTTTCTTAGTATGGAATTATCTTGATCACTAGGAATATGAACTTTAATAGATGGAACTATTGTAAGACGTTTTGATTGTAGTCGAGACTCTAAATATTAATTATTATTATTGTATAAAATGCTCTCTTTTTTTTTTAGAATCATGGTTCTTCATTTACTTCGAATCATTTGTGTAAGTAGTGGTGTTAATGTTTTACTATCCTTTGAAGAAGAAAAAAAAACGAATTTTAAAATAAAAATGAATAGAAAAATATAATTTTAATTACCAATAATTTTGATACATGTTCTTTATCTTCTTCTTCTTCGATTGTGTCAATATTTGATGCTGGACTTTTTTGTACTATTTGAGGATAATTATTACGAGAACGAATATCACCAGGATTAAGTAAATTTCTTTTTTAATATAAAAACTTTAAAAATAAACAAAAGAAAAATTTTTTTTTGATACATACTGATTCATTACAGAATGAATTTCTTTCCAATGTTCAGCTTCTTCATGAATAATTTGTTGAATTATATTACAATGTTCTTTAACAATAACACGTAGATTTTCCATCCTCTAATAATCAAAATAATTTGTCAAGCGGATAGAAAAATAATACTATTACTTTATCAAAATAAGTTCGAAGTGATTGTGAAGCTAATTCAATCATATTATCAAGTACACGCAATTTATCATGATATTTTAATAGACGTTCATTGACATCATTTATATTTTCTTCAATTTCAATATTATGAGAAAATCTATTTCTTAACTGCTTTTCAAATTGTACTACATTTTTATACAAAAAAAAATTATTTATTAGTTATGAATTCATTCATCGATTTACCATTGATACTAATTTCAATAAGTTTACGAGCAAATCGACATTTATTTCGTGTTGTTACAAATCGAGTTCGATTCCATGTTAATGGAAAATCGAATACAGTTCGATTAAGAACAGTCATTACTTATTGAATAGAAAGAAAGAGAGAAAACGAAGTATTAAAATAAAATAGAAAATAATTCTTCTTGTTCAGTATTATAAATCTTTCTGATTTTTATTATGAATACAATTATCGAAACTGTTTTTTTGATCACATTTATTTCATCCAATAAACTATCAATAGATAACAGATGTCACAAATTGCATTTGTCAAATAAATATTTCATTCTACATATCTTAATCATAATGAATATTATGTTGTCACATAAACGAGATAAATTAGTTCTATAAAGTAACATGTAGTTATTCTTCTTATTTTTTTCAGTTTCGTTGAAGAAATGAAGAAATAACTCATTTTATGTAACAATTGGATCAAAAATTGAAGACTAGAATAATATGTATCAATAAAAAAAGAACTTAAAAATTATGTACATGAAAGAGTAACAAGATTCAAAAAGAAAAATCAGAAGAAGAAAAAAAAACAAGTTCATTTGTTAGAATTTTTCACATTCTAAATTTCTACATGATTCGATTAGTACAATTATGATAGATTCAATATGAATTTGACTCGAACAATTTTTATAATAGAACAATGCAAACAAAAGAATAATGATTAGTTTTGAGAACATCTCTAAGTAACTATTTACATGTTTTAACATCATTAGGTAGCCGATATTCTTCCTCATATCAATTAGTTTTTCTCTCGTTGTTTTTCTCTTTTTCATAAAATTTTTTTGTTTCTTTCTACGTATGTTTTTGTGGGTCAAAAATAACTTTCTATTATTGTACTGATTCTTTTCATTCGTTTGAATTATCATGTTTATTGCTTTGCCAAGGTTACTCAAATACACACTTTCTCTTGGTTTTTATAGCAAATTTCTTCTTTTATTTGAACGACTATATAAAATTGACATTCAAAAAATATTGACGAATCCTTTTTTCTTTTATCAATGTTTCAATCTGAAAAATATTTATTTTTAGTTAAAATCAAAAAAAGGAGAAGAACACCATGAATGTTGAATATTGTGATGTAAATGCGTGATATTGTGTTCCATACAACGATGTTTGGTCAAGTATTTCTTATTTCTCTTATTTTCACACTTGAATACAAAAAAAACTAAAGAATGATCAAAATTGTATTTTTGTGGTTCGTAAAGAAACTGACATATTACAGAAAAAATGATCAGTGAATATTCAAGACAATGTAAATATCATTGCATATGATTACAAACAAACATTATGATGAAACATTCGAAAAGATGTCATGAATATGTGTTCTATATCAAGAAATCCAATGATGATAATATGCAGTTTTTTTTGTTGATACGAATGTTTATTATTCAAAAGAAAGAGAATCATTTTTTAATAATTAAAAAAAAAGCAGATGTTTCACATAGTGCTTGCATGGGTACAAAGCATATTTCACTTTATTGCATTTATTAATTTATCGTTATATAGTTATGCAGTACTGATACAATTGCTATGAAGTATATCTAACATTTCATAAACGATAAAGTATTATTCGGAATATTTCAAGAGTTAAATTATCTCTTTGATCTGAAATAGCTTGATATACAGTATTGACGACAAGATGAAATTCGTTACAATTGATCATGAAGAAATCTAAATAGTTCGACTTTTTTTTAATCTCAAAATATTTCTGATTATTTTTTTGTGTTTGATTCGAATTCTAATGTGGGTCTCACTATGTATTTAGCAGTTAGACACCAGATATCGCAACTGTATTCTTTAAGAAGTTTTGAAAGTGGAATTTAATTAGATAAGAAATATGATGCAGTTTTCATATTGTGTTAGTATAACATACCATTGTCAAAAAGATAATATTTGCAAGTTAAAACAACAACAGAAATTTAATCACTCATATGATTTAAATGAAATGAAGTTATAGTTTGAATTTGATCGAATTTTTTTGCTTTATCTTTTCCCTTCATTTTTCTTATAGTGGTTTGAAATAATTCACATAATTAACTCTTTCATTTTCATTTATAAAATAATTACTTCGTAATATAACTACATCGATTATGGTAGACATCTGGTTTTTATAGCACACTAACGACAAATGTTTAACCAATGGAAAATTTTTCCTATCCTATACTGACATTATATGGTGGTCCACAATCATTTCAATTTGCTTAGTAACTATTTTTTATGTTTTCTCCTTTTTTATTTTCTTGAGCGAACGTCATCACTCTCTCGGTACGTTCGAATCGACTGCTCGTCGTTGTGCCATAGTTAACGACTATGCCTATTTTTTTTGTTTCTGTTGACTCATTCGTTTTCATTTCATCTCTTGTATTTTAAAAGCTTTAAAAAAAAACGATTTTTTTTTCAATGTCTGATACTGTAATTGTTAATTTTTCTTCTCCAACAACAATTTCTGTACAATCCGTATCTTCAAATTCATCGTCATCATCTGATACAAATGGCTATGAAATAAAAGCTGATACTGATTCTGATTTATCATTTGTTTCGAAGAAAAAATTAATTCAATTTCAACCAGCAAATCATGATATATTTCATTCATCAAATTTTAATGGACCATCATTTAAACAAATTATTCTTGTCTTCATTACTCTTGTCTCAGTTACATCATTATGTTCATATTTGTATAAGGATTCATTAATTAATATTTTACTTATACTCGAAACATTACCATGGTGGTGGACGTTTCTATTTTTTTGTGTCTTATTCACGCTTGTTTCTTTACCATTTGCGTGGGGTAAGTGTAAATTAAAACAAAGAAAATTTATATTCATTGACACTTTTCTAGGTTATATATTGTTAAATATAGCTTGTGGATTTTTATATGGACTTGTTTATGGTATGATATTTATAGTAGTGTATGTGAGCATTGGTTTATCATTATCATTTTATATTTGTAATTATATCTTAACACATAATTTTCGTATTATTAAAAATTTAAAAACAACATTTGAAAGTAGTGAAATTATTCAAACAATAATTAAAGTTCTTAATAGTGTAGATGGTTATAAAATTATTTTTCTTAGTCGACTTACACCAGTAAGAGACATTTTATTTTATTGTCTTTTGTTTTAATATTTTCAAAATATTCTATTTTGATAGATTCCTCTTGGTTTACAAAACGGATTTTATTCAATAAGTAATATTCCATTTCGCATTTATCTTTTTTGGTCATTATGTGGTTTAATACCAACTCAATTTATTTATTGTTTACTTGGCTCACGTCTTCATTCAATGACAGATTTAATGTTAATTGATAAACGAACCAAAACTGTCGGAATCGTTGTTGGTCTTTGTGAGTGTTTCATGACACTTGTTTTAACGTATTATGTATTTCACACAGCAAAAAAAGTACTTAATAAGTTATTGCTTGAAACATCAGCATCAAGTGAATGTTTGATTGCTGTTAAACAATAAAAATAATTTTTTTCTGTTTTATTTTCATATTACAATAAATCACTTTTCATTTTGTATTATTTGACACAATAAACAATCAATGAAAATACTGATATAACAGTAATTATGATTTGATGCAACACAATTCTATCAATAAGTTGGAACTTTATATTTTGATGGTGAAATTATTTGTTTATAAAGAACAGCAAATTTTTTACTTAGCTTAATAAGTGTCAAGGCGACTTGTTTTTCTTTTTTTAATATTATTTAGGCTAGAATACTGAAAGAGTCACATGAGAGAAAATTATGTATAATAAGGATAAAATTCATTAAATTTATAATCTGTATTAAAAACAAAAATAAAATAATACTAACCAATGGCATCTCATTATTAAATACAAAAAAGACTGTAAATTAATTTCTATAATTTGAAAGTTTGTTCATTATAATTAATATATTTGATTCAAATATCAATGATCAATATATATATATATAAGCGTTCAACTCTTGTTTCAGATGAGTCTTTGGTGTGATAAATATCGTCCAAAAACTTTTGATGAACTTGATTATCAATTAGAGCAAGCAGCATTATTACAAACAATTGTAAACGGATCTTTCTTTTAAATCTGCATCATATATATTCGTTGATAATTTAGGTAGCTAGTGGTGATTTCCCTCATTTTTTAATTTTCGGTCCTAATGGTTCAGGTAAAAAAACTCGAATACAATGTTTACTTCATGCTCTATATGGTGATGGTGTACAATCTTTACGTATTGAAAATCATGAATATGAAACACCATCACGTAAAAAAATCGAAATAACTACAATTGGTAGTAATTTTCATGTACAAGTTAATCCAAGGTTTATATCAAAATTAAATCAATTTCATTGAATAAAAGCAAATCAAACACTTTTTCTTTAGTGATGTTGGCATTTATGATCGTGTCGTTATTCAAGAATTAATTAAAACAATTGCACAAACCAAACAAATAAATATCAGCGAACAACGAGCATTTAAAGGTGCACCAAATATTGATATACTTAATATAAATATTGATTCATGAATTCATTTTTACTCTATAGTCATTGTTATTGTTGAAGTTGATAAATTAACACGAGATGCTCAACATGGTCTTCGTCGTACAATGGAAAAATATGTGAGTTCATGTCGACTTGTACTGTGTTGTAATTCAACATCACGTGTAATACCTGCAATTCAAAGTCGATGTCTAGCTATAAGAGTTGCTGCACCAACGATTGATGAAGTTTGTTGATTTATTTATTTATTTATTTATTTATTTATTTATGATTTGAAAATTTTTTCATCTAGATAAGTGTAATTCTAAAAAAAGTAGCGAATTTTGAAGGAATTCAATTACCAATTGATTTAGCAAATCGTATTGGTGAAAAAAGTCAAAGAAATCTTCGAAGAGCTTTACTTATGTTTCAAACATGTACTACACAAAAGTAAAGATTTTGATTTAGAATATGGATAACAAATTTTTTTTAATTAGAGTTCCATTAACAAAAGATCAGCAAATCACTGAACCAGATTGGGAAATATATTTACGTGATACAGCACGAATGATTGGTGAACAACAAACGCCGCAACGGTAAATAATCTTTTTTTTCATCATTGAAAACCTACGCTTTTTTTGTAGGATTTTAGAAGCACGTGAACGTCTTTATGAATTAATTGCACATTGTATTCCAGCAGAAATTATTTTTAAAGTAAAATCTTCTTTGTTTAGAATTTCTATTAGGATTGAAAATTTATTCATAGGGTTTACTTGAAGAATTATTAGCTAATTGTGACGATGTATTAAAAATTCAAATCACGCAAATAGCTGCTGAATATGAACATCGTCTTCGACAAGGCTCAAAAGAAATCTTTCATCTTGAGGCATTTATAGCAAAATTTATGTGTATTTATAAACAACATATGCAAAAAATGGCTGCTGGTCTTGACGAAGTTTTTGATTAATTCAATATATGGAGTTAATTCTAATGAAATTTCTTTGTTTTTATATATGTCAGATCGATTAATAAAGATTCAAATGTGTATGTGTACAATGAAAGAAAAAAAGTTTCATAAGTGCATTATATAGTTTTATGAAATCGATAGTCATTTTATCATTGTCAGTACATTCCAAGTACATTGTTTCTTTATCATGTAAGCGGATATGTTATTCTCCTATATCCGTCTATTAGTGATTTGCAGTATGATTAATTTATTGATTTGTGAAATTGAGTTTTCAAAGATTTGATAATAGTTAATCATATTTGCTCTGTGACCATAGCTTCACGCTCTGACTGAACGAATGACAAAGATTTCTGTTTGACATTGTTCCTATCGTCAACAGTTTCCACTTCAGATATTTCGAATCTTTGCATGTATTTTAAATTTTACTGACATTTTTAGCTCATATTTTATGTCCCACTGAGATTCGACATATTATTGCGATGGCTAATAGTTTGATCAAATAAAGGCGAGAATATTTTGATATTCTTATATTTTGAGCGGTAAATGCTGCGAAAGTTTCTATACGTATTGTTCTTCTTGCCAAATATCGAACTACTTCGTGGAGATAAGGTCAACATCAAACTAACGAGTTATGCAAAAGTTCTTGAACAAATTTCGGTTCATTTTTGATCGATTAAAGCATATGTGAGTCAATTCGAAAGCACTTGTACGGAATCTACGTCGTAAGTTCTTTCGAACTCTATGATCAAAAAAAGTTCTTTCATATCTTATCTTTCCATAGTAAACACATTTTTAAACAGCACTAAAATGTGATTTGTAAAAGAGAACGAACACCAAAGAATGTATCGATCCCACAGCATGTTGCAATTTCTTTCGGTTCATTCCATGAGATGATGTTTATATTTTTTGCATCAGACTATCATCTTTATTGTTAACAAATTATGTAGAAAATATTATGGAATTTTTGTTTAGATAACATTGAAAGAACTCATTCTCGGATCTCTAACCATGTTCAGATTGATGTTGGTATTGTTTTGCTGGCTGTTCAACTTTGTCATTTTTAGTCATTGGCTCAGACATGCTCATAGAACAAGTATCTCGGGCCATTTGTAGCCACCATTTCAACTATTTTATCAGCAGTGGCGTCGTTTCAGTCTCAAAAAATAATATTGGCTCATCATTATTTTCACATTCAGATTTGACATTATTTCTTACATCGTTGTTTGTTAAATTGTCGATCACACCATCTTACGTAATACCGTATGGTTTCATATTAAGTTTGTAGCGAACTGAACGGCGTATCTAACCAAAAAAAAAGCAGCGCCATACTATCGATCCCTTTGGATAAAATAAATAAAATACTGAAAGGTATATTTTTCTGTACCGTCTAGTTTGAGCTGTTTTTACAGACCACATTTTAGTCCTGTTTAAAGATGCGCTCGCAACTTAAAGACAAGACATGATAAAACCTTTTTGAACATACATTTAGAAAGAGCTTTCGACGATGATTCTATACAAGTGCTTTCGAGTTCATCCACACGTGTCTTACGAGGGAACATTCCCAACTGTCACATCGCTTTTGAGTTGAGCATATGCGCATCATGTAGATCCTAATGATCTATGAATCCTCTGGAAAAAGTTCGTGCTGCTAGCTTACCACTGCCGAGATACTGCATTTTTACTGTATGTTTAAGCAAAAAGCCGTGGTCCCCCTCAGGAACACTAGGAAAACTGAGTTTTGAATTTCAACTTGAAACTTTGCACAGAGACAGGCCTAAATGAGAATAATTTATTGTGAAACTTTCAAATCTTTTGCTTGCTCCTAGTTAGAAATAAGAACATCGGAATCTGCTGGTGTATATAAGCAATTTTACCATGGCTGTATTTTAGGATAGGAACAATGAAAAGAGCTGAAACTTTCACAATAAACTATTGTCATTGAGGCCTATCTCTGTGCAAAGTTTCAAGTTGAAATTCAAAACTCAGTTTTCCTAGTGTTCCTGAGGGGGACCACGGCTTTTTACTTAAACATACAGTAAAAATGCAGTATCTCGGCAGTAGTAAGCTAGCAGCACGAACTTTTTCCAGAGGATTCATAGATCATTAGGATCTACATGATGCGCATATGCTCAACTCAAAAGCGATGTGACAGTTGGGAATGTTCCCTCGTTAGTTCGCATTAGTATTCGTAGAAACTAAGATAATAACTGATCTAATATATAATATATTTACGATGACTTTAGTTGTGTGAACTATTACGAACATTATTATATCACAGAACACATTGACACTGATTTTTTCTTTTTCTCATGAACCAGAAGTTTCTCTATGCTATTATTTTCAATGGTGGTTGATCACAATGAATCGATAAAACCATTAAAATGTTGTCTCTAATGGCAATACCGTAAAAAAATTGTAGTTTAAGCAAAATAAAAAATCTCGCATGTCAATTAAATTTTCAAGTTTTATTTCATAGTATTAATAAACCAGATACATAGAATTTGCTCTTATTTTTAACTTCACATGCACTGACTTTCACTTAACAGTGCGTCGATCATTTTTAGATGGATTGTTTAATCTAATGCTAAAATATTCTCATCTAAATAAAAAAAAACGCCTATGTTACCCTCATAGGTCCTTGACATGAAAGTCAATCAAGTCGTGATTGCTGTTTGCAATCAGAATGCATCATGTTTTCTCTCTATGGTGAAAGTATGAAACAAAAAAATCATGTTTGAATATTTGTTACTTAGTAGAAAGACTTTTTACGACTAGTGTTCATTGAAAAATGATCGTTGTCTGAATGTAAACTGATATTTATTTTTACATATTTTAAAGGTATAAAATCATTTGATGAAGTAAGTGATCAGTTAATAAAAAGTTTAAAACATGATCAATACAAATGTATTAATACTCAATCATTTTTAATGGATAATCAATCATTAATCGATGATAGTAGTGATATATATATAAAATCAACAAAATCTACACGTAATTGGACAATACGTGAACTTGAAGATCATTTAATAGAATTACAACGTAAAAAAATGAATACAAGTGGAATAATAAGTAAATTATTAACAAAATATTGTACAGAATGTTTGGATAGTGAACGTACAATGACAATACCAGTACGAGAATCTTATATGAAACGTATATCAGAATTAGAATCAATTTATTTTGATAAAACAAAAACAACAGGCTTTCCATCATTAGGTGTTATTGCTATTTTAATTGATTATTGTAAGTTAAAAGTTTCTCTTTTTAGAAAAAGAAACTATTTTTTTTTTTTGGTATTTTTAAAGATTCAAGAGTTGAACTTAATCTTGATAAAGTTATTCATTATATAAGTCTATCAAATGATATTGATCCAAAATTTAAATTAGATCCACATAAATGTGTTAGTGTTATACGTTTACTTATACGTAAAAATTCGTTTAATAAAGCAATTGAATTAATGGATTCATTAGGAGGTTATGATGTTGTACCAAATTATATGTATCGTCGTGTACGAGATTTATTATTAGATGCATATTCATTAACTAATTTTAAACAATTTCAATATCTTGTTAATAAATTATTAAAAAATAAATATGTTGATCCATCATCAATTGTACTTTCATTAATTGTACGAAAATCTTATCAAGATCATGGACCATTACATGCATTTGAAACAATTAAAACTATACTTGTTCAATGGAATAATCTTGTTGGAATGTTTCCAATAATAAGAAAATTACTTCGTGATGATTGTACAGAAGAACTTAAACAGGTATAAAATTTTAATAAATTAGATAAACGTATCTTTTTCGTTGTTGAATGTTTTTGGTTCTCGAAGACGGTACAACTGATTCAGCTGAAATTTTTATCACAGATAGAGCATCAAAACTAAGGAAACACATGTTCAAGAAAAAAATATTTTTCGAATGAATTTTTGCAGTTTTTTCTCTGGAAGGTCCTGGTTTTCATAAGACCATATCCGAATACATTACGAACCCCATCAAACTTCATCCGATGGAGCTGAAAATTTGTTGTTTTAGCTAGTTAAGATTATATCTCAGAGGCAATTTTAGTCTTCTCCAATAAGTTTACCTATTTTTCTTATGAGAGAAATTCGTAAAGGTTCAGTGCCGAAATTGTGGTCTTGACTTTCAGAATCCTAGAAGCTCGAACAGGGAAGTCAAAAACAAAAACAGTCGACTTTATCTTTCGCAAATACTTTCAATTATCTATGATAAAAATTTCAGTCCGATTAAACAAAGTTAGATCGGGATCATAATGTATCAAGATGGGCTCCTATGAAAACAAATGATGTTCTCCAGAAAAAAAAAACCCGAAAAATATATTTTTCTTGAACCATGTTAGAGAACCAGAAACAGTCAAAAAAGTGAAGATGCTCCCTTAAACATTAAGATTTATATTATTTGAAGTTTAAATATGATACTATGATCGATTCAAAATAATTGTTTAGCATCGTGTCAATGGTATTGCAGCATAGCATCAAATTACGAAAAAAAAAGAAGAAATTTCTGATTTTATAGATACTTTTAAGAGTCGTTCATGAAGCTATATAGCTTATACATATGATCTGGTTTGATGACTTGCTATTTTTGTAAAAAGTGGATTTCTGAATTCTCTGTTTTATTAAACTATGAAGGATTTTACGACTCTATTTCATTGTACATGTGTAGTTTAGCAAACTTAACATGTCATGAGTGTGATAAAAGGTTCAATAGAAAGAGAATAGATCTATTATCCGTTGAGCAAAAAGCATTTTAGTGAAGTTTATTTGAAACAACTATTTCGTGTATTTTTTGATAACAATGACTCAGCATATTGAATATGTTCATAAGAAATAGTCTTGATTCATTATGTTTCTCCTCAACATTGACTTACTAGTCTGTTTTATTCTTTTCTATTCTATTTAAACATTTTTCCATACATGACATTGATCTCTTCTTATTACTTCAAGTCGAGAAAATCTTTGCACATTGATTCTGAAGGTAATATTTATTGATTTAAAAAAAAACTTGATTACTATATCTGAAGATTCAATGCGCGAGTTTTTTCTATTTCTGAAGGTAACTAGTCAGAACACAGCGTAACCGATCACTGATCGAGTGTTAAAACCATAGACCTGGGACAATAGCAGAGGACCTCTAGGAAGTTTGTAAATGAATTAAACCTTTTTCAATTCAGGCTTCGATTTTTTCAAAAAGACAAACAATTAGAATTATATTTGAATATAATTTAAACAATGAAAATTTCTTTTGTTAGGTATTAATCAAAATTGGTAAAATTCGTTCTCGTACATATGCATATGAACAATTAGCATTTGCTTTAATTCATGAACGTCGTTTATCTGAAGCTTATAAAGTTTGTCAAAATATAAGTCGTTCAACATTTGAAGAACATTGTCAAAGATATGTTCGAGAATTATTCTATTTTCCATCAGATAATCAAAATCTTGATGATGAATCATCACCAATAAATAATTCAATAAGAAATGATATCTATGAAACTGATTATGTATTTGATACAAATACAATATCTCTTATTTATTTTATTGATTATTTTGAACAATATCCATCACATACACGACATTTATCAATTGATACATTATTCTATAGTTTATTTCGTGCATATGAAAAAACAAATCGTTTAGATGAATTTACAAAATTAATGCGTGAATATTTATCAAAATATGTTCAATATTTATCATCAAAAACAAAAGACGCATTTAGTCAAGCTGGTATAACATTACCAATAAAATCATTATCATCACCTAAACAATCAAGAAAAACTAATAGTCATAAACATGAACGTTTTTTACAAGATCATGATTATGAAGAAGATTCTAATTCACAAAATAGTCTTTCCTAATCTATTGTTGCTGTTTTTTTTGTTATTTGTTTTCCTTCTAGATTATTTTACATTAATTGCTTAGTTTTTATGTTATCATCTTTTCTATTGAATAAGTCACATCGATTGAATTCAATTTTCATTAAAAAATATTTATCAACTATGACAGGAATTCAATTAAATACAATTCTTTCACATTTAAAAACTTATGCACCACTTTATCTTGCTGAACAAACATGGGATAATGTTGGATTACTTGTTGAACCAAATAATGATAATCCAGTAATAGAAAACATTTTATTTACAAATGATTTAACTGAACCCGTACTAGATGAAGCTATTGAACGACATGCTCAATTAATTGTTAGTTATCATCCAGCAATATTTAGTCCATTAAAACGTTTAACACAAAATAATTGGAAAGAAAGAATTATACTTAAATGTATAAAACATGGAATTACTGTTTATTCACCACATACATCATGGGATGCTGTTGATAATGGTATTAACCATTGGCTTATATCAGCATTTGGAATAGGTAAGAATTTATATTAATCAAATTCTAATAGAATTATAAAAGTACAAATGAACTCTACTTCAAATAATAATTAATTAACTCATAGAAATTTTTCTATCGAAATGGAAATTTTTTAAAATTAACTATCGGATTTATTTTTCTATGAATCAAGCTGACATTTACTAGAGTTATTGTAAAATATTTTTCATTTGTAAAAATTATCATAAAATCTTATTTTGAAAGTAAAAGTCGATAAATTCAAGCCTAATTCAAATCTTACAATCTTTTCGAATTATTTTATTATACACTCTCTAAACGAGTAAAAATTTGAATTTCAAACGTATATTATTAATATACGATCACACATCATTTATCAAACATGTCTCGTTATAATATAAGAACTACTTTCTTATTAGATTTCTGCAGGATTATGTAAAATAATGGTAAAAAGAAGTATATTGAAAGTAGAAAAAATAAAAAAATCTCTCAGGGATTAAGAATAGCAGACACAGCATGTTTAACACTTTAATCCCACATGAATTATGCTAACAAATTTTTATTCTAATTTTGACAAAAACATTTCTAAGTACAAAACATTTACTTTATTACTGAAATATTTTTCTCAAAATGGAACAAAATTTTTTGAGACAGATCTGTTCAAATCGAAAGAACAGTTCTTTCACTCATTTGAATTACGCACTCATCAACTCTTATTTGACATAAAATATTTGTTAATCATCTCACGAGCGAAATCTTCTAACTATCCAATTTTATTTATTTTAGTATTAAATGCTCTATGAAAACCTTGATATGTTATGAATACTCTCAAAAAGATTAAACTGCTGACTTATTACTGTCGCGACACTACATTTTTATGAGGTTTGTAAGCACAATAGCGTAGTATTCTCGAGAGGACTGAGAAGAAATAAGTTTCAAATGAAGCTTTACGGAGAAATAGTTCTTAATGATATTAAATGATGGTAAAAATTTCAGATATTTGAATTATTTCTATTCTAAAAAACAACAGCATCGAAATCTGCCAGTGTGTATGAGCGATGTAAAATAACATGTTATTATTATAGCAGTGCCTTAGAAATAGAAACTATTGAAAAATATGAAACTTTTACAATAAACTACCTTTCTTACAAACTGTTTCTCTGCAAAATCTTAAATCGAAATTCAATTTTCTCAGTATTCTCAAGGGATACCATGGTGTTGTGCTTACATATACCGTAAAAATGCAATACCTCGACAGTAATTAGTTAGTACTTCGAAACCTTTCCAGCGTATTCATAACACCTTTGGGTCTTCATGGATTTCAATACGATTGGATAGTTGAAAGACTTCCCTCATTAGTTCTTATTTTTTTTTGCTAAATGTTATTCAGTAGTTATGTGTTGAAATCTTGCTTCTATATCAATTAACTGTTTTGAATCGATCACTAATGATCCTACCCAGCTGTTTTATTTACGAAATGAAACTATTGACTCATAGATGATAAGAATTAAACGAGAGAAAATAATTCATTCAAACATTATCAACGATTCGAAGGACTTTGAACAAGCTTCTTTTTCAATCGAATGTTATTATAATGAAAATATCACATTCATTTACAAAAAAATACATTGGCATTTGCTTAGTAAATGTTAAAAATGAAAGAATCTGATAAAAAAAAAGCATAAGTGGTTAAAAACATTAAAATCTTGTTTCTATTGATCTGAAAATTTTTTTTATTAGATCTATCAGTTGAAAAGATCGTATTTTATAATATTTCATTAAATAAAATTAGAACATTTTGTTTTTGAATTCATAAAGATGAACAAGATTATACATCACGTCCAATTGTACAAGTTAAAACAAATGAAACACCATCACAAAATCAACATTTATTAACAATAACTCTTCCTAAGGAACATAATATTAATTCAATTAAAGATATCGATGATGTGACCATAATCAATGAAATATCGTAATGTTCTCCTTTTTCACACCATACAAAATCTAAAACTTAATTTGTCTAGTTGTAATACACTAAATGGACCAGCTATTCAATTATCTATTTCATGTTCACCACGCGCTGTTAGTTTAATAATAGACTTATATCGTAATGAAGAAAACATAAGTAAAACCATTCAAGTTATTGATGTTCAAAAAGTAATAGGAAAAAAAATCTTTTTTTTTCTTGACAATAAAATCCTATCTGATTTTCCTTCTAGCCTTTAGATTCTCGTCAAGGATATGGTCGTTTAATTGAATTAAAAAATTCTCGAACAATTCGTCAAATAGTTGAAAACGTAAAAACATTAACTGGTCTTAAATATATTCGTCTTGCATTAGCAAATAATAAAACAATAGATTCATCAATAAAAACTATAGCAGTCTGTGCTGGTTCAGGTTCAAGTGTATTTTCTCAACTACGAAATGTTGATATACAACTTACTGGTGAACTTACACATCATGCTATATTAGATGCTATACATCGTGGTACAACAGTTATTTTATGTGATCATACAAATACAGAAAGAGGTTTTTTAAATGTTATTAAAAAACATTTTGAACAAATATGGAATTCAAATGAAATTAAATTATTAATTTCCGAACGTGATCGAGATCCATTAGAAATCGTTTAATAGGACATCAATTTATGTGAATCACATTATGTTAACAATTTTTTTTTTACCTAAGATTTCGTACTTTTAATAGCAGTCGAAAACTAAAAGAATAATAAAAAAAGAGAATCGTTCGAAATATGACAATGTCAGAGATGTATACAGTAAGAAAGTTGGTCATTAGAATTCTGCAGATTTCGAATCTGATACAGAGTTCTATTGATTTATATTATTGACAAATACATAGCTAATTGTTCATAAGTTAAGTAAGAAATTATACGATTTATGATGTTTGAAGTTAAATGAAAATCTAGAATGTCGAGAAAAAATAACCTGAAAACTAATTCTTTTTTTTGACTCTGCTATTCTTAGTCGCTTATAAAGTTGATTTGACTAGATATTATTTTAACTTGATCTTTTCATATTTAAAATTTGTTCAAGCCAAACAGATTTCTATAGAAATCTGAGTTGAAAATTCGATTGAACGGATCTATTGTTCTCTTCTGTGAGAATCAAATGAAACGATATAGCTGAAGAATGACTTCTCAGAAATATTTAAAACTTTCAAGGTAAATAGATCTCGATGAATAGAGCAAAAGTTGTCATATACTTCCAATTCTCAAATACTTCCTTCTAGGAAATATTTGCATCGCAGAAACTTACAAATCGTCCTACTTTCTCAGTCACAATATGTCCGATAGAACTCAAGCTTTATCTGTAGATACTAAACACTCTTTTGGATGCCTCATTTTTATCTTCTACCATACGAATAAAAAGATCAAAATACTGAGCGTATCTCCAAAAATCAATGGTGCAAAAGTTTTCAAAAAAACAAAATGAGTAGGCACCTGAAACAATGCCTAGCACCTTTAAAAAAGCGTTTCAGCTCGTTCAAAGTTACTATGTCGAAGAAACAGGAGGCAGGACGATTCTATACTTTTTTTCGTATAAATTATCATAAGGAACATTTTGCATATTAAGAATAATCGCATTGCAATTATTTCTTTTAGAGTTTTCGTGAGTTAGATCTGATAAAAGTACTAATTAACAATGAAGAACTCTCATTTATATGGCATTAGACAGAGGACACTTCGAAATTATACCAAAGATCGAAAAAATTTTGATTTTAACATCCGAAAAGGAGAAAACGACGTCTCCTTAATATTAATCTACTCACTAAAATTGAATCATACGTTTTTTTTTAATATTGGAACGAAAATCGAAGACAAGCAATAGTTATTATAAATTTAATGTAAAAAGTTTAATTAAAAGTTGAATTGTTAAGAATAACAAACAATATATCTATTAATTTGATATTCACTACTTTGACAAAATAATGAAAAAGAATTCTCTAGAATATAGTCATTTAAACAAGAAATAATGAGCTCATCTTAATTTAGAGTAATTGGATCAGATTTTCTTTGCAGTTTTGTTTTTGAATGAATTATTATTTAAGAAGATATTTATGTTATTTGAAAAGCCAAGTGAAATTAACAAATTCGATGATGACAGACAATCTGATAGAGATTGAGAAAAAGCTAATCTATCTGATCGCAAAGGACGAAACAGAAAAACAATTATTCTGCGTTTATCTCTCTTATTTGAAAGAACTTGTTGAATGATACAATAAGAAATCTTAGAATTTTCAAAATATTTTATCAGTTAATGAAAGACTAATTTCATGTAGTATAGTTTTGAAAGTAATTTATTTTATGTTATTTAATAAATCGGGAATTTTCGATCTTTAAACGATCATTTTCAACCTATTAACCAGGACTTTGAACAGATATTACAAAAAACAAGATACAAGGTGACAATGTGTATGAAAACGTAATACATCATAATCTTAACATAACTTTCAAAACTATACTACATGAAATTAGTCTTTCATTAACTGATAATTTGACAAAAAATCTCAAGATTATACATATTTCTCAAAATGTTTTATATTTGGTTTTTCAAATTTTGAACATCTATTCACATACATGTGATTGGTCAGTATCCCTATATCAATAAACTATACAAATTTAATTTATTTTCGAATATAATCTTCAAGATTTTTCTTGTAAATTCTTGTTGTGTTTTATTGTTGAAAACATAGCTTCAAAAAATTATTTTTTTATAATGAACAACTCTATCTATTCTAATATAAGACTAAAGGCAGAAAAACTTAGATTACTAATCAAAGAGAGATCAAACGTCAAAGTTTGAACAGCTATAATTCATAATTCTATATTCCGTTCAGTAATAACAAAAAAAAAAAAAACTCTTTGATGAAATCAACAAGAAACATCTCAACTTTTTTTCACTTATCGCTTTACAGACTTGTCGGTGTTTAATCAAATACCAAATAACTATTTAGTTCGATGTTACACTGTTCTATTAATATGATTAAACTGTTTGAAAACTCACCTCCATGATAAATTATATATCGATCTACCAGGAACAAAATTTTTGTCATTTGTATTCACTAGTGCATGTTCATTTGAGTGCACATGTCAAATTAAACAACTAATAATTTATAAATATATCTAGAAACTTTCATTTCCGAAATGTTGTCATCAATATTTGTGCTATCATGCGTATTTTAGATTAGTTATATATAACCTTTTTTCCATTTTCAATCATAAAATATAAATTTATGTGCACATATAATATTTTGATTAATAGTAAATATTGTCAAGATTATCATTTATTTCAAAAAACAAAGAACATGACTAGACACTACACACACACACAAATAAACATTGTACGTTTTCTTTTACCTTAAAATGAAAAAGAATTTGTTTTATTTTATCACTTTGATTCTTCAGTCTTTATCGATGGTTTCAATATTTGCCATTGTGCATTAAGCGATTGACCAGATAATACTGTTGACCAATAAACATTTTCTGGACATAGTGGTCCTTTCATTGTATGATTAATAATAGGACCAAATATAACTGAACCAAGTTGTTCTTTACATGATAATGATTCATGTACAAGACGTAATTCAATAGTAACTTCAGATGCAAAATCACGACGTAATTCAAAAACAAGTTCTTCATTAAATGTTGGACAATCTGATGTACGTTGTACACTAGTTTTTTTACGTTTCATTTTTTTTCCATTACGATCATATAATGTTACTTTAACACAAGCATCTGGAAATGGTTTTGTTTCAATTGATAATGGTCGTAAATTTTTTGCTTCAATAATAACAACTGATAATTTAGCAGCACTTTGTAAATAAGATAAAGATACAAGTAGTTCACCTAGATCAGGATCCTAAAAAAAAAAAAACAAAGTGACCAAAAAAAAAATTATTCTATCGAATTTCAGAAAAATATTAAACCTGTATTATTGATGATGCATCACATTCCTCTAATGGCTTTTTCATACGACTTTGATCCACTTCAGATAATTCATTTAAATCATATTTAACTGTAGCTATACGAATATCTTTATATAAAGGTTTAATTGTACTTATTTTATATAAAAATATTTCAATAGAACGATTATTTAATTGATCATAGGATAATTCAAATTCATTTAATTGTTTTTTATCAAATAAATAAGATGATTGTAGACGTGTTAAACGAACAATTTTTGTTTGAAATAAAGTACGTTTTTCTGGTAATAAACGAAAACGACAATAAAATGATATAAAATCACTAGTATTATTATTATTAACATAACTATCAAGAAGTTGTAAATTTTCAAATGATAATGTATCAATAAAAACACGTTCAATATCACGATCATAACTGATAGTTATACGAGATACTGGTCGTGTTAATTCATCTTCATTTGACGGATTTGTTGGAAGATTTGCTTTCTATTCATTACAAAAAATGAAAAAAATCATTATATAGAAAATAAATATTTTGTAAAGTTTATCGTATTTGAATTTACACCTAATAAATTCTTATTTATAGAATAATTGTCTAAGGAAATAAGTTAGTTCGAAGTTTTTGAAAGCCTCATAACAATTTCCTGATGTGTCGAAATTGATCAATATTGACTTATAAATAACAGTAATCAATAATAGTCTTTTTATAGTTATTAAAATAAGTTCTTTTGACAGATTTGTTTTTCTACATTATATACATGTTTGAACATTTTATAAACGTTTGAAATTTTCGTTCAACTAGAATAATGCTGAAGATTAGAATCATCAGTTCTCATCCTAATGATGTTCATTTAATCATAAAATCAATACTAGAATCTATAGATAAATTCTTTTTCGGTCCAAACAACAAAAAATTTTGGAAACTAATGCCATATGTCCTGTTCAGATACTCATAGTGTGATGTCATAACTTACAGCAGCTGCCGAAGCATATAATGCTTGTTGTAGTTCTTTTGGATCAATTGGGTCAAACATCGACGGACGTCGTCCACGTGTCTGTGAGGACATGTTTCTATCTAAATTATGAATTTTTTGAAATTTAATATTAATTATTCTAATATCTCTTTATACCACTATTGGGTGATGCTGAATTATTTGATTGAAGACTAGCACGTGGTGATGATGATGGTGGACCAACGGCAAATTGTGTAGGTGGTGTACCTATCAATAAAATAAGATAAATATATGAAGAAAAAAAGTATCTTTTTGTTCGATTTATTTCTGAATGCCACACAAATTTTATTAGAATTGTCAAGAAAGAGAAAAAGAACTTGCAAGACTATCTCGTTGTTGTTGTAACCGTTCTCGTTCTTGGATTGTTACAATGTAATGAAATGATGACGCATATGCTCAAATACATGGAAGAAAAAACGTTGGGGTCTAGTGCGGATCCTTATCAATATGTTTTGCTCTCGATTTCTACTCACGCAAATAATGATAACTATATACACGACATTCATCGATGAATAATCAAGCATAGTTGCTTTATGATTTTTTATTTCTTGATTCTATCGGTGTATATAAAATAAATAGTAGAATATTTCACTGACAATTTGACATCGAATCAAAACTTACAAGCCATTGCATATTACTATGAAATAATCTGAGACATGAGAACAATTATAATCTTT